GAGGACAATAGATCTTAAGTCTATTGATATGTACAGTTTGAGTAGATTTGGGGCCAATCAAACTTTGAATGGTAATGTTGGGACGATTAATCTTTGTTACTAGAAAGGGGCCTTTCCATGGAATGGTAAATTTGGGGCGTATCCTTTCATCGTGTAATAGTACGAGGTCTCCAATAGAGATTTGTTTGGAGAAAACTTTATGCTGAAAATCATACCCTGCTTTGTATAATGCTGTTTTGTTTGCGATTTGGTTTCCAACGTTTGTGATTGTAGTTTGTAAAGCTGTTGTGAGTTGATCAGCGAAACTGTCCGAAGCGTAGGAAATACGAGATGGAAGTTGATGAATAATATCACTCCATGTGATAGGGTGACGTCCGTAAGCGACGAAGTATGGGCTGTATCCTGTAGTGTCATTAATGCTGGTGTTGTATGCGAACACGATGGGTTGAAGGAAATCACACCACATATCGCGTGCTTCGGAGCAGTATGCGGTTAATGAGTCGGTTATGACTTTTACTAATCTTTCAACCTGGCCATTAGCTTTATGGTTATAGCTAGTTGTAAAAGAATTAGCGATTCCGAGAACGTGATTCAGCTGGGCAAAAATTTCGCTGGTGTAGTTGGATCCGCGATCGGAAACTATTTCGGTGGGGATGCCGTGTTTTGAAATGACATCGTTAATAAGTGCTCTTACGACTGTATCTGTTAACTGGTTGGGAATCGGAGTACAAGTAATAAGTTTGCTGAAAGCACAAACTGTTATGGAAATAAATCTATTGCCATCGATAGACTGTGGGAGCGGTCCAATAATGTCGGTGTGTAATCGTTCGAATGGTCTTTGGGGGATTGGAAATGATCCTAGTTCTTCACGAATTATTTGTCCAGATGGAGTTTTGATTTTCTGACAAACTGGACATGATTTAACATATCTTGCTACGTGATAAAAAATTCCTGGCCAAAAGTATTTGGATTCTATGGCGTTTATGGTTTTTCGAATTCATCGGCTGCATCTTCGTGATAAGGTTTAGTGTGTTCTGCTGAAGGCAACTGTTCAGTATACCAGTGATTTTGTAATAAGTGTACTTCGGTTGTTAGTCGTGCTAAATCCGAATGGAAAATTGGAGGTGCATTAAAAATGAAATCTTGGGTGACTAATGAGTATGGTAGATTAGTGTGAATTTGTGCTACGTCTATGAGGCCTTTAGAAGATTTGTAATGATTAGTACCATCATTATATATTCCGAAAGGAAGATGACCACAATTGGCTTCAGCGCTGTTAGTTGTTAAATCTTTTGTGCCGGGTATTACAAAATGAATGTCTTTTCCTATGCGTACTGGGGTAAATATATAGCAAATTCCATTAACATTATGGTCCAAATAAATTTCATCTATGTGTACTTCTTTACACTTTGAAACCATTAGCACATCTCCTGCTGCTAGAGCAAAAATATCATTACGGTTTAATAAAATTCGGGCTGCACTTGTAGGGTTAATTTGGGCAATACTTTTTATGGCTTGATTTCTAAAGTTAGTTAGACTACAGATACGGTCGAAAAGGTAGTTAAAATCGTGGCGCATTACTTCTTCTAATTTTATTTTTAAAAATTGCATTTTTGTGTTAAGTTCAAAATGTCGTTGATCTTGTCTTTGTTCATGCGTGAGCATGACGTCATTGTTAATGTTCCTAAGATCTGGTTCGATATGTACAGCTATGTGTTGAGCTACAGCTGCTGAGTCATTTGCGGGATATTTAGTCAATGGTGGATTTTTGCTATGTAGTAAAAGTGCGGCAAGTTGTTTGTGATTTTCCTGGATTCTTCGGAGGGTGGTATCGGGTACGGTTAGATGAGTAGTACGTTTATTACGACGTTGTTGTTTGCCATATTTATCTTTATAAAAGTCTCGCCTTTCGCGTTGTCTTCTTTCTCGAATAAAATTAACCAGTTGTAAGTTTTTAGAAGCTTTGAAATGTTTTTGATTGATTTCATCTACTATTTCTGGGTTTTTGGCAAAAATTGTGCGAGGATCATGACCAAGAATTTCTGGTAATAGAACAAAGACTCCGTTATCCATGGCTATTGCACTGTTTGGTAGACACCAATACGAAATTTGATGAGGTTTGTATGTTATATTTTTATAAGTTAGCGCAGTTTGTATATTATCGAGTACGATATGAGTTGGGGTTACGTAAGCTACGGCTTCTACGGCTTTTTGATATCTGCAAGCAAATGGTCTTTCGGTGCCGGTATTCCAAACAATGGTGCCGTGGGTTAATTTACATTCGTTATCACGGACATGGCATTTGGCCATATCTCCAAATTGGCCAATCAATTTATCGCCGTCGTAAGTAGCAAGTTCGCCTTTTTCTACATATACATTAGTAGTGTATGTGCATTTTTCTCCAAAAAACCAAGGGTAAGAGTAATGGATGTCGTTATCTGAGCCATAGACCGTAGGTGAAAGAGGATAAAGAGGTTTGCCTTGAAATTTCTTTGTATGTGCCAGGTTATTGCATATGGATGGGTCGATGGCTGACATAAATTCTTCGTCACTATTGACTGAGAATGTCATGTGCAAATAGGAAGAAGCGCAAATTTTACGGGTTTTGTTGAAACAATGGTGAGCCTGTATTAGGTAAGGTTCCGTGCGCTGAACAAAAACGAATGCTGTTGTCAAAAGTATATCAGTAGAGTTTGTGGAGTGTGTACAAGATGTTATATCTGGATATGCCACTGGCCAACCGGACTTTCCGGCAGAACACAGCTGATACACGGGTGGTATGGCAGCAGTGGGTATGAGTGAAAGGCAAAATATTGTTATCAGGAATAAGGAGTTTGTGAAATTTCCTATGCCAGTGGAGAAGTTAGTTGAAATAGAGTTTACATTTCTTTGTTGTTGGAATTTGTTATGGTTTTGATTTTTAGATGCTCTGAGGGGTGATTTAGAGTTGTCGCGCCTTTGCGGATATGGCGAGCGGCTGCGCGTTGATTTCCGAAAGTTGTTACGTGGGTAAGGAGTATATCTGTATGCTCTACCGCGAAAATTGTTAGTAGGATATGTTTTGAAAGATACGCGTCTTTCATTGTTATAGAATGAATTTTTTCTAAAGTTTGGTTGTACGTTGCGCGTGAAATTTCTAGGTTTATTGTAGTTTTCATTGTAAGGGTAAGTGGGTATACGTCTTAAGCGATTTGCTGTGAAAATAGCGTTAGTTGGTCTTGCGCGTAGATTGTCGAGAATTTTGTCTACTTTGTTCATTAAAATAGTATCTCCAACATAATGGTCTTCGGCTTCTGTTAAATCATAAATGCGTTCGGCTTCTGCCAAGAGTTTGCTATAGTTAGTAGGTAAAGGACCTAAGAGTTTGAGTTTTTGTTTTATTTTATGTGGCAAAGCAGTTGTTAAAATGGTGCGCATGAGAAAATCCCTATTGCGATCTTGATCAGGTTCAGGATAAGCTTCCATGATACTTTGTCTTAATCTTTTTGAAAAAAGTGTAGGCGATTCGCCTGGTTTCATTTTCATTTCCATTAGCTTTTCCCGTGCCATGTCTAGGAAATGGTCTGTTGAGAAGTGTTTGCCTAATTCATCTATGGCGAGTTGCCAATTTGCTTTTTTAGCTTCTGGAAAATTATCAAATACTGCTTTTGCGGTGCCCTTTAAATGGGCTGGTAAAAGGCGAACTCTTTTCTGCGGCGTCAAACCCATAATATTGCTTATTTCTACAAATTGTTCCAAAAAATTCATAAGACCTAACCCTCCTTGTTCACCAGAAAAGGTTGGAAGTTTTGTTGAGTAAGAAGAAAGACATAATTTGTCAAATACGGCATCAAGGCGATCTACTAGGTTATTTTGTTCCATTTTTGGAGGTGGATCGATTATTATATGTTCGGGTGTTTGTTCACGTAATGTGGGATGAGTTGAATAGGTTGGATTTGGTTGAGAGGTGTTGATTTTGCTCAAAATGAGTCCTATTGTGCCTGTTTTAGTTTCAGTGGGGCTTTTAAGTCTTAAATCAAAATTTAGACGTTTTTGGCGAGGAGGAGAGTATGAAACAGGCGATACTGCTATTTGTGAATGAGAACGGGTTCTATTCGCTATAGGTGGTGCCGAAACTGCGCGTTCAGTATGCGAAAATTGAGAATGTCTCTGTTGTTTAGGTTGGTTTTGGGAATTGCGTGAATGTGAACGGGTTCTACGGTCTGATCTATTCATGCAATAGATGCAGTTTGAGAGCTAATTTTTTTCTGCTAATTTTTTTTTTATATATGCAAGCTGATTTGATTTAAATGGATAATTATTAATTAATTTTTTTTTTCAAAGTAAATTGTACCTGTTTTTGAAGAGTTGATTGGGCTGTTGTTCGTTGCAGTTGTACGGTAGATTCCTTGACTAGTCTCCTTGGATGAGCGGTGAATCGGCGCGATGTGATCGAGCAAGAGAGCGGCAAGGAAGGGAGATTGTGAGAGAAGGTGGAAGCTTCAAAATGAGGCGAGGATTGGTTGTGATTTGACTGGAGTTGCTCGGGCTTATATAGTAGGTAAAAAAAATTGTAATATCTGTGGGTTGGGGTGTAGCTTTACAATGTATTCTTAGAAAATGGTATGTAAACAATATTTGTTTTGTAAACAATATTATGTGTTCCCAGAAAATGGCATGTAAACAATTTTTGTTTTCCGTAACAATTTCTGTAAACAGCTGGTTGCTAAAGTTATATAACGTTGCGTCATGGTATCAAGATCCGATCGGAGGTGTAATTAGTCAAGCATGCCGGTGCAATCAGTCAAACATGCTTTTCCTCTCCAGTAAATCGGAGGTGCAATTTGTTAAGTTGGAGGCGCAATTTGTCAAACTGTTTTCCCTATAAATAGGCGTGGAACGGCGGAAGTGGCGATCTTATCTCGATTTGTTTATTTTATCTTGTTTTGATTCCCTTTTTTTTTTGTTGAAAAAAAATGCGAGGTCGTTTTGCGGATAAAACAAAATTTTTTTTCTTTTAAGATAGACAATGCCGTTTGGAAAAATTTGTATATCGCCTGTACCTCGTGTGCCCAGAAGAAGTGGTACTCCCATAAATTCAAGGGGGAACACTCCTGACTCTTGGGGAGCGGCTTGTGCTTCTCCCAGTGATTTCAAGAGTCGTTCTCCATCGCCTAGAATACCGCCTGGGGGAGACTGGATCGTGAGTGTGCTTAATTATTTGAAGAAAATAATTTTATATATATATTCGTCTTTTTAGGCTTGGGCAGATAAATTAGAGGCCGACTTGGCCAAAACTACGGCTGAGTTGGAAGCTGCCAAGCATGAGATTGTAAGACTAGAGCACCCACCACCGTGTGCGAAATGTGCTGAGCTCAAAAAAAACTATGAAGAGTGCCAAGTGCACTTCAGAATTTTGGTTGCAAAAAGTATGCACGAGTCGGAGGCTGCTGAAAAGGCACGTATTGTAGAGCGAAGAAGAAGTATGAATTTGAATAAGGTAAGTTTGAGAAATTGTGATGCTATATTTAAATGTTCGTTTTCTAGGAGTTGATTGAGCTGCACGATGATCTCCACAATGTTAGGCGTGTGTTTGTGTACAATGAAGAACTTCTACGCCAACCACAAACGCTACTAGAAGAAGCGCTTTATGAAGAAGAAGTTGTACTGTCTTGTTTGGTTAGGGGTGAGGTCGAAGAGACTTGGTTAAAAGTTCAAGAGAATAACACCGTGGAGGTTGCCGTTATGGTTTTAAACAATGATGGTGAACGTGTCACGCTTTCCTGTAAGTTAAAGAAATTTTTTTTTTCTTTGTTAATCATGATAATTTATTTTGTTATAGGTATTTTGCATAACACGCACAACGAGCCGTTCAACGTGTGCAATGGGGCAAACTGGAAAGCTGACAGAACTTGCGTAGTTCTGCACTTTGGCAATTTGGTGATTACGAAATATGGAGAAAAAATAGCGTTCGATAAAGCCTTTGTGGGAGTGTTGGCAAGAGGTACTACTAATTCATTATTATTAATTAATGTAGCCGACAATGGCCTTGCTGCCTTACTTAGCGAAAAACGTAATAGGCTTTGATATGTGCTAAAATAATCAATGTTTGGTGTTATTTTATAATTATCTGTAGATGTGTGCATGTACATCCCATAATTAGTAGTAGATGTTTGTATATATTGTTCAATAAAGGAATTGTATAATGGTGTATTGGTGTATTGTTATTTGAAGCAGGAAATTTGTTTCTATTGGAAGTTTGCGAAGTAATGTGTATAGTTAATAACTTATCTGGGAGAGTGTGGTCATTAATCGTAAGTGGTCATCCAGGTATTTTGGTGTTTACGGCCATATGTTCTGAACTTGAGTAATGATGTCCGTTTCTGAGAGTTACGCAAGTGTTTACGAGAGGTTACTAGAGTGGGACAGTTGTCGAATTATTTTGGGGTTGTTTGGCTGGCAATATGGTGTAATGGAAGTGGTGGGGTGGCGAAATATTTTTCGCGTGCTACCACATGTGGCTCCGCGTCCGCGAAAATTTATTGCTACTGATTGTAGCGCTGAACGCGAAAAGCAGTGATTTATTCGCATAAGTATAGCGCTGCGGTGGGTTGTCGCGCTGATTTGTGGATCGGCACGATTTTCACGTGCTATGAGGTCCAAGTGATTTATTCGCGTAAACTGTGCTGCGTAGAATAACGTTGTTGATAAATGAGCAGAGCTCTCTCGCAACTATGTTGTGCAGTGATTTATTCGCGAAAACGATGTGAAGCGGAGAGAAGCTTTCTGATATAGATTGGTGCGCTTCTATATATCAGAACTCTCTCGTTATAGTGATTACTTTCCCGGGGTTTGCGAGCGAGTCCATAAAGTCAGAAAGAAAATATTAGATTGATTATACTTGATTTCGAAAGTCCAATAATTAGGTTTTACCGTGGTTCTCTTAATTAAAGGAAAAGTTTCCTTTAAATATTCATTTATTTTATAAGGTAAGAATGATACGTTGCAGAAAAGATTCTATAATAAGGAATTGTATATATATATATATATTTTTTTTTGCACTAGTTGAGCTAGTAAGAAAGAAAAAAACAATGAGAATGAATTAAAGTTAAGTAAACGACGTACGTATAAATTTGGTAAGGGGTTGCTTTTATAAATAGAAACTGAGTATATTTTTACTGTGTTGAAGTGATTCTAGTTTATTTATAATAAGGTACTCGCCCGCAGGACTTTTATGTTGGCAATCTGTGGATTGCGATTTATATAATCTATTCGATTATTGTGAAATTATAATTGAATATATTAGGTGGGTCACAAAGTTTGTTCGCCAGATTTTTAAAAAATCATAACTTCCTTCCTTCTCAATAAAATTTTCTAAATTTATTTTTATTTGAGAGAAGAAACCTTCTTCTTTACAGCAGTACCTTTGATGTGAAATGGCGTGAAAAAATTCGAGCGTTAGAAGCAGTTGAATAAAATCACTCAAATTCGGCACTTTTCAAGCTGGATTACGAAAAATTCTGGAAGCATTTTTATTCGATAGAGAAAATTATGCTCTTTACTATAGCATTTTTTTTCACGAGTTATAACGAAAAAGATCGAGAGTTATGAGCAAATAAAGAGAAATACTTCAATTTTACAGTGCTTGAGTATGCTCAAAATAGCCCAAAAACGTCACAGAAAGAGCGGAATAGCCAAGAATACGGGTTTTGTGACCATCTCTTTCTAGCTGAATGAAAATCGTACCAATCGAGTGCGATCTAAATTTTCGTGAAAAACACAGGCCCGAAAATCCGGAAATATACGAAAATCAAAAATTGCTCTTGATTGGTACGTTTTCCATTCAGCTAGAAAGAGAAGGTCACAAAACCCGTACTCTTGGCTTTTCCGCCCTTTCTGTGACGTTTTTGGGCTATTTTGAGCATGCTCAAAAACTGCAAAATTGAAGGCATTCTCTTTATTTGCTCATAACTCTCGATCCTTTTCGTTTTAATTAGTGAAAAAGGTGCTATAGTAAAGAGCATAATTTTTTCTATCGAATAAAAATGCTTCCAGAATTTTTCGTGATCCAGCTTGAAAAGTGCCGATTTTGACCGATTTCATTCAACTGCTTCTAACTCTCGAATTTTTTCACGCCATTTCACATCAAAGGTACTGCTGTAAAGAAGAAGGTTTCTTCTCTCAAATAAAAATAAATTTAGAAAATTTTATTGAGAAGGAAGGAAGTTATGATTTTTTGAAAATCTGGCGAACGAACTTTGTGACCCACCCAATATAAAAGAACTTACGTGTTTCGTTCGAACTTCCTTAGTGATCAGATAAGGAAGGGGAAGAAGACATAGGACGAAATGACGTAGGACGAGGTTGAAGGGTGGGTGGAGGGGAGGTGGGTGGGGTAAGGTTTTATCCCGATAAAGCGGAAAAAATATGGGTTAATTTGGAAAAAATTATTCTAAAGAAAGTATTCTAGAGAAATATCTCGCCGGGACCTCCATGTCAGGAACAAGGGGTGTACGAGCCCTTGCCTAAAGGTGTAGCGGTGTTACGGTGTATTGAACATGATGATTATATATGTTTATTACTAAAGATATAAAAAGACAAAAGAGGTAGGGGGAGGGGAAGGGGTGAGTGTGAGTGTCCGTGAGTCCCTGAAGGTCTCCAGTCCTCTTCTTATATGCTGGTCCGTCTTACAACAATAACAGCGGTTAGGGCGGGGTAAGATATTGCATAACAAGTGATGTGAGGTGGTGACTCAGTACATTGCATAACAAGTGATGTGACTCAATATTACCCAATGTTATACAATCTGATGAAATGATCTCATGACACATGCTGATTTCATCGAATAACTTTTTACAATTTTTTAAGCGTTTCAAATGGTGTTTATCGTTTTGAAAAATACTGAAAAAATGTTACTGAAGCATAACTGGCATAACTTATGAAAAAAAGTTTTGCGGTATGTGCAAATTATATATTCATAGCCAGCGGCTCAGTTTAGCCTAACGATAAAGTTAGCTCGTTGAGTATCCATTCTGGGTCAAGATGTAGCCATTGTTTGCGCAAAACCCTCTTCAGAATTGCTACCATAGTCCTATAGCAATGAGGAGAGAGTGATTCACTCTATACTATGAATCTAAGCTGAAGCCTCCTTCACTGTATGGTGCCTGAAGCTAAGCAGAAGACTGTGGGAGAAGAGTTATTACCGATTGAAAAGTGTGTATTAGCTTTTGGGGCACCCTACCCTGTATATCCAATTAGCCTGAAAATCTGCGTTTCTTTAGAAAGTGATTTGTCTTAAAATTACGAATGTTGTTGTGACTGACCCCTATCGGCTTGCTTTTTTTATTCATTCTACTACAATTATCTTCGCAAATACTACCTAACTACGCTTTTTTATAAATCAATTTTTTTCGCAACGCCTCAAAGGCTTGCTGAAAACAGATGGAAGTTTGCAACTTTATATCGTTATATATGCTTCAATGAACTCCTATATACAGATATCACGCACCGTGTAATTCAAATGCATTTATGGCAATATCACAGCGAGGAACCTATGCCGCATCGGCAAATGCATTCGTCTATTTAAAGATGTAACCTTAGTAAGTACAGAGCAATCACTATTGCATTCCAGCTCGAGCAAGATTTGACTGTAATATAATGTCACAAGCTGCAGCAAACACGAAATCTATCTGCTGGGTGTCTATCGCTTCCGTGTAGTGGACGTATAACTTGCTATTTGGAGTCGGTAGTGGTGCCTAAACATACATAGAATTTTCCATCTATAAACACGAATCGTAGAGTCGTTGTGAGACCCTATGGTCACGACTGTGAAACGTGCACTCCAGCTTGCAATTTTGAAAATGGTATATGGGCGGGCTTGTCCGATGGGCAGCTGTGTCAATCTACAGCGATTTTTCCGCTTCAGAAGCGATGTCTGTAGAGACTTAAAGGCAGTGTCTCGGCAGATTTTCGTCTTCCAGTTCTTCACGGAGCCTTTTCGCCATGTAGAATCCATGTCTGTGCTTTTCAGTGCAAATGGCGAAAGTGAGCTTTTTCGGAAGCTTTCCGCAATATGTACAGAATTATATTGTGTCGGAACCTATATCGGCCAACTCCACCCTTTGTTTTTTCCACTAAAGATAGAGGAGTATTTGTTCCGGACGCGAAATTTGGTATTGCGGCCATCCGCATCATATACCTAATTGTCTTTTTCTCGCCCGCAGATTTCGAAATCCTGCATCACCCTCATACTTGGGGATTGAACTCGGATTTTACATTCAAGGAAAAGTGGAGAAGGTTCGCAAAAGTCTTTGAGTTTTGTGTGGAAGAGGTGCCTCCTTGCTAGAATTGTTTCAATTTGTTGGTGCACGTAAAACTTTGCTAAACTAAAAAAACTAAAATAAACTGGGAAAAGAAGACGAGATACACTGACTAGTGACTAGAGTCTTTGTCCAGAAACTTGACCGAGAGTTGTAGTTTTTGCTTAACCCAGAATGAGACTTGCATCTAATCTCTACATCGTCTTTAGTGCTAATATACTTTAAGAATTCGCAGTTGACTTTATGAACTGAATCACTTTCTAAGATGCTCAAATATAATGGCTTTTGAGGTGTTATTTCAGTCTTGAGCCATCGGAAACCATACCTTTCTGAAACAGCTTTGTATAAAATCTGCCGCTGAGTTGTAGTCGTTGTCTCCTGTAATTACAATTTGAAATATGACCAAAGCTGTTAAAACACGATTGTTCTCGCCTGTATAGTCTTTGAAGTAATCAGCTAATCGTGTATGCATGAGTTTTGCTTTAAAAAGATCGAACTTATTCAGAAAAAGTATGAAAGAGCAAGATTTCAAGAACTCGTTTTTCACAATGTCCATGAAGAGGTCGATGCTGTCCATGAGCCGATTCTGGAACGTAAAGCTGCGACGGTGTTGAGGTTGCGTTCAGAGTTGCCCGTGTCAGCGCCGTGAAACCACCGCCAGCAATGCGAACAATACGTAGTGCATCAGCGTGGGTCCAGGCACGGCGCCAGAACGGGCTGACACGGCGCCGAGCTGTGGCAACTCTGGACACAGCCTAGTAAGAAAAAAAGAAACTTGTCATACCTTTGGACTTTGAGACGTCTGTGGTCGGACCATAGTATGTAATGGTTTATGTCCGGCAGCAGTCACCTGCAATAGTGCTTAAGCTACTAAAGATGTGCCTCAAGTATTGTAAATGAACCTTGCCTGTGTTAACTTCATGTCTTCCTCCATGATTTGGTCAAAACTACTCAATGATGCTACGAACATAACTGCTGTGCTATCTTCAAAGAAGTGAATCCACTTTCTTCTCTCAGTTCTTTGCCCACCCACGTCTATGAGCCTAAATTGCGATTGTTACAAGATTGAATATACTAGACTAGGAGTCAAACCTTATTGCATATTTCTTAAACTCGAATGCGAATTCGTGCACTCCTATAGTGGCTTTTCGCATATGCACAATATCCATACTATTGGGTAAGAAGTCTGGAGTTAGAATTCGGTGGAGTTGGGAAGAGAAACTGAAAAGACATTTTGAGCGAGTTTCTAGTATCCTTTTCAGCAAAAATACTAATCGCATCGTAGTCTCAAGCTGAGGAGAAGGATAATTTCAAATTGTAAAGAAAGGTGCACTACTTAGAAAAAAACCTACTAAGGAAAATTGTCTGGTATAGATGGCCATGTTGAGTGTTTTGCAAGGAATGACTGCACAGTCTCCAAAGTCCTGAAATAAACATGTTTTATTTCAAGTTAGTGTATGATACATTTTCTAGAATATTTTGAAGACTATTTCGGCTTTGTAAGCGAACAGGGACAGGACAAGCAACACATGCATATTTGCCTTATGTAGCTACAATCCCTCTATTTTCGAAACAGAAATTTTTCGCTGCAGTACTGAGCGATACAATCATCAGATTTTAAAACTTTAAAAAGGAAAGTGAAAACAAATGGAGTACAAAATGCTTACCCAAACTCCTTCAGTAATTGCAATTCACTCTTCTCTTCCATCACCTCTATCTCTTGACTGTGTCGGGAAAATTGCTCCAATGTGCCCTAAAGGGAGGATGTTGAAGTTTTTGGTAGATTCATATCATAGCTGGGTTCTTTCTGAGCTCAAATAGCCGTAAAAACTTCTCAAATGGTATGCATCTTCAAAAAGAGTACACGTTCTTCACGTTTCTTTACTGTTTGAGAGAAGAATAGGCAATGTGAATCTCATGTAGCAGTGCGCCATTTTTTAGCCATTTTTATCATGACTATCTCCTTGCCCATTTATTGAAGTTGATTATTTTTTGCAGGTGTGACTGGTAGCAAAGCGTTCTGATGAGCGTTGCTTTTTTGCTTAGTATTTGAAAGGTTATGATAGTCAACGATCTAACGCTCCACAAGTACATATGATCTCGAGGTACGAAAGCTGTTAGGGTGCGTATTAGCAACTTTTGAGCAAAAAACGCGCTCCAGTCGAAGTACCCACGCGATGGCGCGATGAACTGCGAAATCGCAAAAATTGAAAAATGGTGAGGGCGAATTCGTCTCACGCTTGTCCACTTGCCACCTTCATGCCGGGCCTGGTTTCAGTACAAACTACTATACACCTTTTGTCGAACATAATATTTTTTAATTTGTTGTAAATGTAGTATATTTTGCTAGGATAGAATCAAAAAAGCTGAAAGAAAGTTTGAGGAATATCACTATCCGTAAAGAAACTTTATCAAAACAAACCTTCTTCTATTGAAACATGAGTCATGAAAGTAAAGCAAAAGCTATGGAATTTTGTTGAACTTTTAAGTCTTTTTTGCGAGCCAATAAGGAAATATCTAGGTTTAAAGTCTTCCTCCACCGGTTTGTATCGCACCCATATGTCAACAATAATTTTTTCGTAAGCGCCTGAGCATGATTTTTTTCTTTGGGAGTAATTAAATTCGAATTTTTCCAACTGAAGGGGATTACAAATTTTAATGCGCAAGATTGGAAATGATGGAACTCTCGTTTCGTTAACTGCTTGGTACACAGGGAAACAAAGACAAGCGAGGTTCGGCGGGCTCAAAAAATGCCCTTTTGATATTCTCCAAATTCGCGTTGGAAAGTGAGAAAACCATAATTTTTCCATACCCACTAAATGTACTAGTCGACCCTTGCTGTATAGTGCTGAAGGTTTATAATCGCCTTTTGCTCAAGATTACATGGCAAAGAAGAGCCCCAAGGACCACTGAAGTTCGCAGAAAAGTTTTATGGTTCAAGATTTCTTGAAAGTTTTGCTTAAGGAGCATTTTTGAAACCTCAAAATCGTATGCGCATTTTTGGAGATTACTTTTTTGTAAACTTAGGGCAAGGAGAGAGCCAAAGAGACTTCTGAAATTCAATCCTTATTTGAAGGCACAAAACTTTAGAACGAATGGTGGGTGACTTGCGAAAGCGAAAGCATACACAAAAATCACAGAAAGCTCCTTTTTTTAGATGTTACAGCTTTGGAAAACCAGCGGCTGAAAAAAGCGTTAAAGAAAGCGTGCACTGTTTACAAATCAACTTAATCTCTACAGATCTTGCGTAATCGCAGTTCTTTTTGATTATTTGCTCCTTTCGTTGTTTTATTGCGCGAATTGGAATCTCAAGCATTAATCTAAACCGAACCAACGGCTACGTAAATGACATAATAGGCAAATGATTAATTGCTGATTAGTGGTGGTTTGCGACGAAGTCTCGTCAAAATTGTCAGTTACGAGTCAAACATAATTATATCATTCTGTTTGACCTAAAACTATATGCGAACCTAGGTTTTCGGTCCTACAATGTGACTCTCGAGATGGTAACGCAATTCACGTTCGTTTTAGCTATATTTTGCCGAGTCCAGTCAAAATTTATGCTGAGTGGATTTTCTCAAGCTTTGAAGTGGTAAACAAACTTTTTCGCCTTCTGGAATATCCACGGTCGTTTGTTCGACGCCAACAGCTATCGCATGGAAAGCATCGACTAAGTTTTTTCGAATCACAAAAATAGCGTCTATGGCTTCCGTTTCGTTGAAACCAGCAGAGTGGATCAGCCTAAAATATGCAATGGAAAATCCTCAATATGCACTAGAGTAGCATGAAATTAAGTTGAGAGGGACAAAAAAAACAAGAAAAAGCCCTTGCTTCAAGGTTTTAACGATCCTATGCGGTCCTAGTCCGAAATTTATCATATACCGGAAAATCTAAACCGAATTGATAGTCTTACCTCATTTGCTTCACAATGGTACTTTTTCCGGAATCAGCGCTACCTGTAATCATATTTCGAGTCGACTCAAAGCCTAGCCGTGACTTACCCAAAAGTAAAATTTTGATCTTCTTTCTTTCTACGACGTGATCCTTCTTCAGTTCGGAATCTATCCGTCGTGATTTCACGTCATCGATGTTCTCGGATTTTACTCCACATAATCCAGATCCCATACCGAAAAAGAAATTTTTAACAAAAGCTGGGTAATATTTTTCAAATGAAACTTGAGGAGTCTTGAGCGTTGTAGGGAGAAACAACAATTGAGTTTGATTTATACATTTGAGAAAACTTTGCGCTGATACCAAACATCTTAAAGCTGCCTTTTTGTTTTTTTTTTATTCTTATTATTGTTTAATAACGGCGTAAAATTTCTCCAAGCATTGAGCATGTAAAGCATCTGCGAATGCACGCGCTGCTATCAAAACATTCGCTAATAATTGGAATGAAGTAATGAGTAATGAATACTATGTCCGTAAACAAAGTAGTAAAAAACTTTGGCGTTTACGTAGTATTGCACGAAGAAGGAACACCCTCAGACAGTTGTTGCAGACATAATTGAGAGATGATAGTGAGAACTCTTTTTTGAAAATTAAGTCCATTCAAAGAAGTGATAACTGTGTATCATGTAAGTTTTTAATATTGCAAAAGAATGAGGTGTTTCCAAAAATATGCATTGCTTCTATTAGGAAAAAAAAAATGATTTCCAGCTGCCAGTCACAAAATAGAACCAAAAAGAAGCAAATCAAGCGAGGTTAGTGCGAATCACATAGACATCTTTGACGAGGAAGTACGGCCATAAATGGGAAGCAAAGTTCATTAGATTTGGTCCGTCGCAACCAATGTAAGCACCCCCTTTCGAAAATGTGCAAATGAACTAAGTAGCCACTTGAAAAAGCAGTCCCGCCGCCGTGGTTTGTAACAAATTTTGGATGAGGTACACGAAGAAGGCTTATATATTTACATATGAGTTCATATTAGAGGTGGCTAATGAGGATTGTGAGTATGAGGCCTAAACAATTGATTTCTCAAGAAGGTAGTTGTTTGCTTTTTTTGTCAACATAAACTATTATGTAAACGTTTTGTACGAATTCAGGCACCCAGTTGCATTTTTTCTGTTATTGTCAATAATTTCAGGCAACATATCAGCTAGTCATATCACATTCGCGTCTCACGATTCACTTAAAGAATCTCATATGCATAGTCGGAGTACCCATTATGTAGGTGAGTGTTCAATCTAGTGGGAATGGCGCAAATTGGAGTTGAAGCTGTAAGAAGGGAATGTCTGGTTTCTCTTAACTACATAGACAGTGAGTTATAATTGCTATGAATTTAGAAACAGGGTGAGTAGCAGTTTTGGATAGTAGAGATTTGAAGAGTGATACCTCAAGAAAGATTCGGCTTGACTAGCTATAAATCTCTAGAATCACGATTAGCTTACTGAAGGGTAATTTGATACACAGGTTTGCTCTACGGCCTTATAATCGGAAATTATAAAAAGATTATTATTGCGCATTGTCGAGCGGAGCGCGTATTCCATAGCTAGATACAAAGAGTCTACTATCATCGGAAGACGCTAACTTTATTGTTTTGAGAATTTTAATATTGTCGGGAAGTCTCGCAGTTACTATGAAGTTCCAGAATAGTCTGCCGGCTGATAGATTTTTATGAAAACAACCATATAGTTAATGAGCAAGGCAGAGACTTGCAAAATGAGCGTGTGCACGGATAATAAGTCCGCCTTCGAACTAGGGGGGAGGGGGGTGAAGAAACTCCGTATAATTAGCCTAGCCTTAACTATTTGTAGTGGTTGCTCTATAATAAAAGTGCTCATTCGAGTGAGTAGCAAAGCGCTGACCACGCCTACTTATTAATCGGATTGGGACGTTTTGCATATCAATTACGCTCTGGGATTTAAATGCTACTGCAGAGAACAACACCATTGTCTTTATCTCAAGCGAATCTCGAACGCACACGGCTGCTGGTTGAATCTTAAAAACAGTATTGTTTTGATGAAAATTATGCTCGTTCGTTTTGTATAAAATGCAAACGAGTACTTAATCTACAATTACTATGTACGTCAAATTGTTACATGCGTCGGAAATACATATATGATGTCAGCAAGTGCAAAATTTAGAAAGTTTACCCGTCCATACGCGAGAGCAAAACTAGATGAGGGTTGTATTTTTCGGTGTATTGTGTTTTACTCTGAAGAAAAGTATTCTCAAGCATAATTTTGTAATATAGAGGGACAGGTCTTCACTAGCCTTACTAGAGTTTGGACGCAATCCTAACTTTGGATTACTGGAGGAATCAAATCTTACTCTCATATGAGCTCTGCACGAAGTGGCTTTCGGAAAATGCAAAAAACGAAGTCCTCCTTGACTTTCCCCAAATTTTATGAAGTCCCTTTTGACCCTAAACCATAGAACGTTGACTAAAATAACGTCGCAAGTTTTTGTGTCTTTTCGGCCACTAAAACGATATCCTCCTTGCTTTTTGCCCCGAAAACGATATCCCTTGCTTACAAGCCACCTATGCCAAGCCCTGCTCTCATAATTCTAGCAAAATGATAGTTTGCTGAACCTAATAAAAAAAGTCATCGGTGAGTTTGATATGCTAGAAGGATTGAACTTTTTGGGATTCATAACTACAAGTGCTTGCGAAGGAACTCAAGTGAGCAAACCATTTCCTTTTTTTCAGACTCAGACACTTAGATAGGTGTATATGCTGTAAACGGCTATGGTTATGAACTGTGGTAAGTAATTATGTGAAATCTTCTAAGAAAGCGCTTTGCCGCGAAGGAACTTCCGAGAGAATCCTACAATTACATTATAGAATATTCTTGAATTTTTTTTTTTGCGGCAGAGCGCTTTTCCAAAAGAATTTGTATGGATAAGTAGTTATACAAAATTTTGCCTTGAGAAATGTTTGAGATGAATCCAGTCATATTTCAGCCTTTAGAAAAAAAACCAATGGTTATCCTCACGGTAGTAATGGTGATAGTAGTGAAGTTTATTTCAAAAGGTTTTTGCGCATTTTTCCTTCTTCTTACCATACTTCATCTATACATATATAAAGTGTTGGTAAATTGTTAGTTGGTGTGTTCTTAATAGGAAATTTTGTGTGTGGACCGATCGGCGCCAAACTTTGCATACATATGTTTTCGACACCGATCCGCCCCTTTTTGCAGCGAAATTCCCGCTCCTCCTATTGATTCATCGATTTTGAAGAAAAATAAACTCTTATTAACTAATATCAAATTGCTTCCAACTTTCATGTAAACAATAGCGGTAGGACTCATTTTCATCCCACGATGAGGGAGGACGGTGAAAGCGACGTGGTTTAGGAGGTATCTACCTAGCGTCACAAGGGTAAAAGAATACCAAAACGCAGATAAGTTGATCCCTTAGAATTGCGCACCAAATTTGCTTTTTGTTGAGCCAGTTAAAAACACAGTGCGGGCGAAGCTGGGCATACCAGCTAGTACGTATATTGTCTCAACTATATCCATAAAATTCTCTTAAAAACTCTGTGATGACCTCACAACATCATCTTCATAGATTGATTTGTTGACGAGACCGTATTATGTTTCGATTCGCAATAATAAACACAGCAATTCACACCATGCTGCTGATACTCATCTGTTTGGCCGCTGCTTCTGCGGACCTCCCCAAATCGCTGCTTGTAGTGAATCGATCCTATCCAGCAAACAAACCAGTAATTATAAGCTTCAAGATAGATGTTTCTCAAACATACATGGTTAGTCGTGTCACCACTGATTTAATGGCTATTTATTCATATTTTTCCCTTTCTTTTCTTGGAAAAATTACATTATGTAGAAGAATTTTAGCTGCTTCGTACATAGATTGTAATCAAAAAATGAACAAAATGTGGTACTGTTTGATCTTTCATAACTCTCTTGCCTCAAGATCTTCAGCAAATATTTGGGTTGTATTGTTCTCTAGAGTGACTCTAGCTCAAATTTAGGGGAAAATATTGTTTTCAATATTCATACGACACTGCAAAGAAGCTAACTTTTTGAAAAAATTTTTGAAGTGCTTTGGAGTGTACAGCAATAAATTTTAACAAAATTGTCAAGTTTTCCAACGGTATTATTATTATTTATTGGAAATACGTGGCTTAACTTTTGAGCGGGCATTACCGGGAAGTGAAAATTCGCTGGATTCAGCTTCCCGGAGTAGCCTAGTGAGAGTGTTTTCATGTTTTGATTTTTGATAGAAAATATGGCTCTCAAGCACGTAAAACGGTCAGAGTGATACAGTAATATTATAGTAACAAAGCAATCGTTAATTTTTCCTGTGAATCATGGCTGAGCCTAGTGGTGCAGAATGTTAGCCATAAATTCGCTAAGGACTTCAAGACATTTTTTAACGATTGAAAATGTGCAAGTTTTTTGGGTACCTGTATTCGAAAAATTATTTTCTATTGTTCAGGACTTCACCAGTGCGACACTCTACGTCCACGGAACGACAACTTTGGTAATTATGTTAATACTAGAACGCATAAAACAGTATAACTCTTATAGAGTTGGACTGACACGCGAAAATCATGGGTACCATCAGACGGACAGGATACGTTTGACGTGGATGCTGCACTTAATCCTGCAGATTATCGACGAATTTACACCGGACTATGGATACCGAGCATGAAAAACAATTTTAAAATGCTCACATTCAAGTACGTTTTAACATTTTCAGTTCCTCATATCCTTTGAATTTCTGAGAGATTTCCTTTTCAAAAGAGAGCATGGATCTCATGCATTTGAGCTTTTTGTCTTCTGATTTTGGATGAATTTAGTTAATGGAAAAGTAAAACAAACATCCAACAAAAAAACATAAAATCAACCTTAACGCGGACTTATGTACACGATTTGATTATAGCAAGAGGAAATCTGATTTTTTTATAGAACAGATCAAATTTGTCTCACGTAGCACTAAAATACCAAGCGACAATATCAACTATATACGAAGTTGATAAGACCTATTTAGGATTGATTATTAAAAGCAGCAAGTATACAATTTTCAGGAAAAATGTTTGCAAACCTTTCGTATGATTTATAATGCTTCACATAAAGTTTGTAGTGTGTTTAGAATAAGCCTGTTCAGTAGTGAAATGATTGACGATGTCTCTAAGATTTTCTATAAATCTATCTGAATAAGTTTTAGTATGATGGCTACGGTAGATTTGATGACTCTAACCAACAGCATTTTTGCTTAAGCATGGATGGTTGTGATTGCTCTTCTTTTTGACTAGTATGTAATAATGATATCATTGCAAGAAACATATTCATGCCTATTGTTAAAATAATCGCAGGTTCTGGCTTTTTCTTTTTTGAAAAATTTCAGGGTAATGGCTTACAACTTCACACTTTGAAGCATAAATCAAAGTTTACAATCTACTTCTCTATCTACTTAGCTTTTCTTGTTTTTCAAACTCAGACTTGGTACGCAAAAACCAGAATTGGTTAATGGAAAGACTTCGAATACGAATTAAATTGGGAAACGCCTATCACTTTCAATTTTGAAAGATTTTTTTTCGCACTCACGTAGGTAGGCTTACACCAGAGGTCGTGAATTTATGTTTTTAGCTTTTCGTATTCTTCTAAAGGTCAAAGTTCAAATTTCTTCAAAGTTTCATTTCCATAAAATCAAACGTTGATGTGTACAGTTTGCAATAATTTGCTTTCAGAGGTGCGCCGAACTTATTTTCGGAGCGTTTGTCTTTCACGGCCACGGGTAGAATATCTAACGAATTTCGGTTTATTCTGATGATGTCTTGCCTTATCATGGACATTGACTATCCTTACGATGTTTATACCTGTTATGAGAAGTTTGGTGATTACGAGATGAATACTACCGAGCAGTATACATGTGGGTTCTTGTTTGATAGATTTTGATGGAGAAGAACATAATTTTATATCAGCAGAGGAATGTTATGTAGGTTGGCCGATAATTCCTGTTACACTTTTTTTGTAAAATTCTGAAAAGTTTCAGAAGTTCTCTAGAATCTTCAAAGTTTGTCTATATGTAGGCCACGGCAGGGCGTACACAACAGTGTGACTGACGCCGCAAACGCACAATTTGCCAGCAACTTTACGACAACTTTATAAGCACACTTAAAATTGTCATTTTTTCTTTGAATTTTCTGCGTCAAATCCTGTTTTTTCTCTCCCATAATTTTTTTAGAACATATTTTCGCCTCATCTCTTTTTTGGTAGCACTTTGGTGCCGCTAGCACGCCAAAAACAAGGGGTGAAAAACAACTCAAAAAAATAAAAAATTCGCCGAAAATTATTCTTTTTGTATGCATCGTGTAGGATTTGATACGGAAAGGTTGAAAATAGTTTTTGTGAATTTTTAGAGATTGTTCTTCATCTCAAAATGCCAATGTGCGCTGACATGGCGCAACATGTAGCTCATGTTATCGTGTGCGAACATGATTGTGCCATCTCCTACGTTCGCTAAAAACTATGGGCCATACCCTGCCCGAATACCACATCGCCCGGTCTCTTCTCAATCACCTGAAAAAATGCCAGCCAGCTGACAAAAATGTTCATAGAATGTATTCCCACCGAAAAAGTGGGCGTTTTGCGCACGGACCGCGGATCTGACAGTACCGGCGGGTAAACCTTTGCACCCCGCCAACACTCGTTAAACATAAGAATTTTCGGATGTTTCTTAGGTTTTTCAAAAAATAAAAGTAAAAGTGTAACAGAAATTATCCGCCAACCTAATATTTTGTTTATAATTTTTTCTTGTGTGTTGCACAGTGATCATTGTGTTGAACTACTCGAGTTCAATCTCCAGATGCCCAGAACGCTGTAAACTTCATGACGGTTTCTGAGAATGCTAGCCGGCCCGGCCATAAAATAACGAACTATACGTCGTACAAATACGTCCAAGATCTAGAGAAATTCGACAAGTAAGGTAGAGCAATTCTGGATTACGAAACATCAATTATGTGTTTTTAGAATACTGAAAGGATTCTATCCGGAGTCCATTGATATTGGTTTCACTATTCAACGACATCAACCCAGACTGATTATAGATCTAATAATTCCAATATATTGTAAGTACACTTTTTCTCAAACTTTGACAAACATATACATGTATCGCAAAAAGCCTTGCAAAGAGTCACTTCTACAAAAAATAAGAAATGCGTTAGCTTTGATGCTAGAACATATTACTTTTTTCAGACTGTGTGTGTTTCTGGCAGAATGACATTCTCAATGTTTAGGTGTCACTTTCATGGATGCATTCATTTATGTTTTTGGTTATGGCATGCAAAGAGCGTATTTGCTGCCTGTATATATTACCTTCTTTCCGGATATATCTTCAATTTATACGCTGAGCCGGTTCCCGCATATTGGTAATTGTTATTTATTCGGTTTTACGTTATTTATGAAGCTAAACATCGATAAAAGAAAACTGTCTTCTATCTATGTTCAACACATAGTATTTATTGTTTTTGAAAAGTGGGGTACTACCCTTGTAGTTAACTCTTAATTACAATTAGCATTTTTAAGCAGTCATAACGAGCTATAAAGTTAATCGAGAAACAGAGTAAGAAGTCGAAGGCAAAGAAAGATTTATCTAGCTTACCTGGGCTTTTCATAAATGAACATAAGAGAATATACTTACTATATTTTTTTATTTTTAATTATATTCAATCAAATGCTAACGGTAAGGAAGAACAGCTACCTGTCATCCAACTTTACTTGTTTTTTCATGCAAAACATAAATAAGACTTCAATTTGAGATAAAATGAATAATTCCAGTAGCGGTTTCATCTTTCTCACCGTTAGCGTTTGAACAGAATATAACATGATACCAAAGGCAATTTTTCTAACACTATGAAATTTTTTGACATTTTCGGCATTTTTCTTTTCCTATATACTCAACACTCCTTGCAGTTGTTCGGTGTTTTCCCGTCAAATATCCTATCTCTTCCCAAATCCCTTTCGAGCCTTTTTACAACCAAGCTTTGGGTCAACTGTTCGCTGCGGGACTTATGCGGAGAATAAAGACTTCGGAAGATCTTGGCTTCCTTCACTTTTATCTATTCGAGGAATCATAACAATAGGAGTTGGTGCGGTGCAGGAACACAGACGTTTCTACGAAATAACCTCCAGTTCCGAGAAACGGAAGTTAATCAAGTCTGGCTTTGCCTCATGGCTCTTGAAGGCATATAGACATAAAGAAGTGATTGAGTGTAGAAATGTAGATTTGGGGAAATACTAGACATTGTTGGTCGCATCAGCCAACATATGGGACATCGCTTGTTAGCAGTCTGTGCCTTGGAGCTGGCTGAATATCTGGACTTGCTGTAATGTGTATCCCACGAAAACCAGTATAGCTATTAATCAGTGCTCCCTCAAGAATTGGGTCGCAAAAGTTTTTGAAATTGCCCTATATGAGTTGTGAATATGTGCAAATGACTTTTTTGTGCTTCTAAACACGACTTAATCATAAAATTTGAAATTTCGGATTAGCATTACAAGAAAATCTCATAAAGGAGGGAGAGGTGGAGCTTAACGCTACGTCTATTTATTTAAAAAAATTTTGTCGTGCTTTTCTCCCCCCCCCCCTCCTCCAAAGGAAACTTCTCTCATTGCCACTGCTATGAGTTGTACACATCGCAAGTACTTAGAATTCTTGAATATACTGTCATTATTATATTTCTGACGCCTGCTCAAATTCAGGCAGTATATGTCGACAAAATTGAGGCTTTGAGAATTGCGAGTGCGTGACCGTAGTTTGCCTCAAAATCGGCACATTTTGGTATAAATAATTTTGCAGAACTAACATCAATTAGCTGATTTATCCGAAGGGTTAGGGAGAAGGAAGATGAATGAGAGCATAAAGTAGCTGGGAGATGACGGTAAAATCGGGCAGGGGGAAAGCTTTGAGAAAAAAAGAAATGAAGACATCTGGAGAGAAACTTTGAGGGAACATGAGAAGTCGCACGCATTCTGAATGGACGTCTTGTGAAACAGGAGAAATCGGCGCATTTTAACTGTGAGCGAGCGAAAATCTGAGGGTCTTCGTCCAAAATGGATTTGAGGGGTGTGGGATTCGATAGCTCTTCGGAAAGCAAAATCAGGAATAGAAGAAAAGCTGCGATGGAAAGAAAAGAAATTAGATAAACTTCAGCAAGGAAGGATGACAAAGGAAAGTTCAAGAACATTTTGTCCATGAAGGCTTGAAACAGCTTGTTGCGGAAACGTCAGAAGAATGTTCCACTCATAGGATGGAGAAGGAATGTTTAGAGTATTATATCCCACTGCCAACCAAAATTCTTGCTAAAAGATCCCAAATATTCTAATTTTTGGCTCTTTGTGCCTCAAATATTCTACTTCACAAAAACCCAAATAAGAAGGTCTACTTGTTCACATACTTCTTTATATGTACTTGTCTGTTTGAACTTGAATCTAAATTTTGCCATGGTTGTGAATTTCACAATAAACTTCACCAGACTCTTTCATGGGAGAAATTTCTGCCTTTGCTACCCTCACGAACTCTTAGCCCACGCATTATTTGCAATCTGTCTACCCCTACTTCGCTTTTCTTTCCATGAGACACCGAAATCCTCTTCATTCCGTAGTCCAGTATAAACTCTAACCAACACCTTGCTTCCTATGAAATTTCCCCGCCAAAGTGCTCCCTATCTATAGAATTTTCTTACTTAGACAACGTAGTCTACTGGAGCTTCTCTTGCTGATCACCCACAGTGTTTGTGGGAAGATTGCGCTCTGTGCTTGGGAATCAACTGGGGTTATGTAGCGCTTTCAAAGGTATTTAGGAAAGGAGGGCTGCTTTGCCACAAACACTTTGGGTAGTGAGGGAACGAGGACAGGGCTCAGCACAGCTGGCACCGAGTCAAGCTAGATATCGTTTTTAGGGCGAAAAGCAAAGGGGATATCGTTTCTACAGGGGCCGAGGCGGAGAACTGCCGCAAAAATGCCGCCGGCATGCCACCGGCATGCCATTGGCAAGCTGTCCATCAACAAACAAAGTGTTTTCAGCCAAAACGCAATAATATGACACCAAATTTGATGTGTGCATGCGCGTTGGTGGACCGGAACTAAAGGCCAAAAATTTATGAAAACTTATGTGAATGAAAGCTGTGCCGAACTGTTTTCTGAATTAGCGTGCCAGCTGGGTGCCAGCTGAGCTGGCACCGACACTTTGCTCACATAAGTTTCCATACTTTTTTACATAAAATGCATCTACACTCTAAAAAATTACATACGGAGAAGAAAGAGTTTCATAATGTTCTCTTTTCAGCGTTTTATAGCAATTTGAAAACCACTCGGTCTGCTCCGCAGTCGAAAAATCGGCTTTTTCTGCTTCTCAAGATGTGATTCGTCCACTTAAAAAGCTCAGAAAGCTATGAAAAGTTCTTTCTAAAATCAGAAATGCATGAAAACACTACTACATTTTTTCACAATAATATAAAAATGATGATGGGTTTTCAAAACAGGTCAAAAGGGACTTCGTACAAAATTTTCAATATCAAACGGGACTTCGTTTTGAAATTTCCCTGGTGCCAGCTCGTGCCGAGCCCTGAACGAGGACCTAGGAAGAAGTTGCTACAAAACTTCCGGTCTATCGGTATTTAGGCTTTTAAAGCGAAAAAGTTCTTTTTTGTGGGCAAATAACGCATACAAAAGATGTGTTCCTTTTGTTGCGTTTGGTGGGTTTCTCCTCTTTCTGTTCTTGGAGCTAGAGCTGGGCGCTTATTCTCTTCATCTTCGCAAGAGTAGAATAGAAATCGCTGAAGCCATCACAACTGTTTCTCATGAGACACTTTCAAGTCCCAAATAAGGTATTAGGTATTAACACATTCACGACAATAGGACCCAACGGTGGGTGGGTCGTACGTGTTCTGCCATTTCGGACAGCTTCAGGAATCTCAAAACTCACCGGTGGGTGGTAAGATTCCTGAACCTCTAGCCTGCCAGTTTACGATGGAATTTTACGGGGCACATGATTGGGGACACCTTGGCGAAGCTCCAGCCAGAGTGGTCCTCGAGATGTTACCATAGACAGAGATAAGGCATAGACTTTAGCTAAAATTCTTCGCAGAATGAGCTGTTTCTGAAAATTCAAGTGTACATGCACGTACGGTGAGGGCAAGAGACTGACGTGAGCCCGTCAAAATATCATCAATTTTATTGATTTTACTAATTTTTTGCATTTTCATCCTAGGACAAATCTCACATATATAGGTTTTGTAGCATGCTGATTACGAAAATGGTAGTTCCAAGTTCTCATATCGCCTTCTTACACCAATTTCTCAATTTCAAAAAAAAAAATTCTGCCGTACTGCACCGTAGCCCGACTGTGGGACAGTAGTGTACAAAGTGGATACTATAATCGTGATCAGCACATGAAACAACCCCAAAACACACCTTTTCATAGAAATACATAATGTTGGATTCGTACAATGGTTACCGTAACCTTACCGTATGATGCCAAAAACTCTATTAAATCATATTTTGAGAATCGGCGCCTTCGATAGCCCCTCTGAGAAATTCGCGGAGACATGTTTTGAATATTTTCCAGAAAGACTACCATTTCGGACAATACGACCCACGGATGGGTTTCAAGCGAAAAAGGCTCTGGTCCGGAACGGCAGTAATTGGAAAATCAGCCTTGTTGTGAATGTGTTAAGCTGGAAGCTGGATCAAAGTCTATTTTTGATGTCCGTATAGATGAAATCGGGAATAAAGACATTGGGAAAAGTAAAAGAAAGAAGAAACTGAAGAGCTCCAAACAATTCCGGAAATTTTTTCCTACAACAATACTGCGCTTTGCGCTGTTTCAACATGCATTTATTGAGAGCTTCACAATTATTCACCTTTAACAGGATTGTCATCGGAATAAAGAATCGAAATGCCCCTGAATTCTAGTTTAGATTGTGTTATTTTGAATGAAGTTCAGTCTTTACTGTGCCTATAATACCAGGGAAGAAAATTTATGTTTCAGTTTTCCGTTCGCTCAACTCAGCGAACGTCTTTTTTATAGTTGTGGTAGTATCAAAAATCTGTAACTTTATTTCGTTTCCTCGCAGAAGGAGTCTGCTAGCCCTGAGCCAAATTAACTGATCCTATACATGAATCAGTGTCTGAGATATCTGCTCATTTAGCGATGTAAGTAAACGAAGAATTTGCTATTTTTATTTAAGGCACATTATTTCCCGAACCCTAGAGAAATTATCGCGGATATCTAGTCGTTACACAAAACATTTCAAGTCAATAACTTCTATGCTGGCCACGTGCTTGGTTGCAAATCGGCTATCATTCCCATTTTTCTCTATCTGTCATCTTCTGGTTTGCACGAGATTTTGCTTTTTATTTATCGTTCTTCCACTTTCCCGCACGCCTGCCTCTATCTTTATCGTCTACTTTTTCTCGCCCCTTTCGCTTTTTCGGCCTTTTCTGGAACTTCTAATGACGTTGATAGTCTAGGATGTGAGCCAACAAAAGCTTGTCTCGTCCCTCCATCACATTAACTTCGAATTTCTGGGAAGCCATTTCCACATTTACATAAACTCACTGTTGAGATCAGACCTTTCGATGGCGTATCCATTACTTTGAGCTTGCGACTCCCTGTTCCCTCATCCTTGCAGTACCTAAAAACCATGGCGAATGTTGAAATTTGCACAGACACAAGTATAAACTTAGGTAATCAATCTACAACGAAGTCGTGACCAAAAGAGGGGCGATATCAATTGATCGTTCTAGTGTAAAAGATTTGACGAACTGCTTCACTCAGCTTTTTTCATCATCCCCTGTGTATTCAACCGTGGGTAATAATTCACCTGCACAAGCAGCAGATGCATTCCTTATTATTATGTTTCTTGGTAGAAGTCTCTCACATTTGCTATGCAGGTGTTTTTTCGCTTGACTTATGAACTTACAGTAAGTGTATGCAGATTAGCCTATGATCACTAACTCATTCTCACCTTAGTGTTACCTAGTACATTTTCTTGGAAGTCTGTCTGGACACTTACGAGTAAACGAAACAGTTCAGCCTTTTTTTAACAGTTAGTCCTTGTACTCCTCCAGTAAACCTCAAAAACAACGGCAGTCCAAGGGAAGGGGGGGGGGGGGAATTTCTTGATGCTGTTACTTGATCAATAAATTGTGCAATTGACTTGTCTATACTGCTTGTGAAAGTAGGATAATATTTTGAGATTTGTAAAGATTCAGGGTAACTTTGAAAAAAATTTTCGGAGGCATATGCCTATTTCACACAAAAGCTCATGTCCATACATATTTTACGCATGAACATAGATATAAATTTACCTCATTTGTAAAATTTTTCAGCAAAAAGTATCTGCACAAAATTAGTTATATTTTTTCTTCTGATCATCTCTTCATTATCTCGTACAAAAATTCCAGCTCGATGGTTCTTCGCACGACTTTTCTCCACATCCGTCTGCCTGATTGCATTACTCTTCACCAAAGAACTTGCTCGATGTTCGCGTCGTTTAGCTGCTATCGTCATCACAACCACAGTGTTTTACGGGATTTTTTCAATTCCTTATGGAATTTTTCTGTCGTCTTAGATATACTACAGAATTTCTACGTTGTCTATACTGTTCATTTCACATCATATTGTCATGTTTATTTTGTTTGTTCGTGCAAAAAGCCTGCCTTTGTTTGTTCCCATGGACGAGACTGTATTAATGAACGAGTCGTAGTCAAAGAAATGTTATAGTGACTGGAAAATGATACGTTCGTCGAAGTTTATCGCTTTATATCGAACTAGACATCTTTTCCATCGGAATGAGAGCCCTCATTTTCGTCTTAAAGATTTTAACGAGAAGATTTGTGAAATCTTTAGCGATTTTGTGCAAGAATCCCTAAGAAATGGCTGGCCAAATAGGGCTGCGAGCAGACGCTTTGGGAACAAATCCATATTCCAAAATATGCACGATGTCATGGAGTCTCTATGCACTTTTGACAGCATGCCATGCCAATTGTCTGTTCGGAACACATCATCTCCTCACTCGCACCCTCGGAAGAAAAAACTGGGTTGCTTAGTGCCGCCACTCAGAGCTTATTAGCAAAAGCAATCAGTCGGCCAAGGTGTGTAAATAAAATGTTGGTAAACAGTCTCTAGACGACAGAATCACTGCCACGTTGAAAAAGCAGAAAAATCACCGTGGAAACGCCTGAGACAAAGCGCTGTAGCAATAAATTGGAGTTGGTTTTTGATAAGTTATGCGAGCCGGTTTCCTACTTTTTCACTGTATGTCGTGTGAAAACTTCATTGACTTATGGCATCGCAATTGTCAAACTCTTTATCGTAATCTGTGGTAATTCGCACTTTAGCGCTATTCTTAGAAGCAAGATCTCATTTGTACTTTTACTAGCTTGGCCTCAACGGCATAAGTACTTTATAGGGTTTTCGCAAATAGTTCTTGACGGAGTAGTTGGTTCCGATTGCGTCCACATAGTCAAGACTCTGACTGATGCAGAATCGAAGATGTACTGAGTAATTTTAGGCGGCAGCGTGCAAATCATCCAAATGTTGAACCAAAAGACGTTAGCCGTCAGTCGTCTTCAGATGACTAACCCCATCCTATTTCGTAAGACCCGAGTCAATTTGAGTCGAAAGTGCTATAGCTACTGATGAAAATTGCTCTTTGTGGCCCGGACTTAAGGGTTCAAATTTGGATAAGGCAGAATCAGTGGATAGTTGAGATGACTATAGCGAAAACCAGGAAGTTCCAATCTAGGCACTAAATGTTGCGCGATTTGAATTTTGTAATTTAGAAATAAACGCAGTTATTGTAAGTTGCCTTACTCATTGATAACCATCATAAGCATAGTTATTCACATTTTTTGTTGATTTTATCAGCAATAAAAGACGTGAGTTGTCGAAAGTGTTGCATACAATTTGTATCATCTATTTTTATCTCTCATGACGCATCTAGAATGCAACTTTTAAGCATCACAGGAATTACTCATAGTAAGCGGCAAAAATTTGCTGTAAGTTTCATTAAAGATTATTTTCTATATAGTCTGAGACGTTAATAGTAAAACTTCACAAAAAAAGTGTCTATGTTTAACTTTGCTCATTCTGCGAGCTGCTTGAACTTTGCTTGTACAGAGCAAATGCTTCATAAAAAGAGATTCATCGAGGACTTGGTATGTTTGTTAGTGCGATCTGTAAATAGTTATTTATAGAACTTAGGCTGTTGACCATTTTGTGATCTAAAAACGTTTGTTAGTTGAAGAAAATGTATTTTAGACCCCCCAACACAGTACGCCAGTCTTAGGCTCTTAGGCTCAGTGACTTTTTTAGACGGTCTCTGCCCCCTCTATCTCTTCCAGAGGTAATTCAGATTACAAGTACGATTTTGCATAGCGTTAATATCATGATCGTAATCCAGTGGAAACGTTGAAGTATAAGCTCTTCATTGCTAGCAAAAAGTATAAAATGCATGCTTCTGACGTGCTTGACTAAGAGCTATATTAACATTATATCAGTACTGTAGACCTTTTTTTATATGTCTGCTGCGCTCCATTTGCGCCTTTAGCATTCCATTGATCCAGCCAGCGAATACTCTTTTTTTCTATTATGTGGTATTTGAAAGTAGAAGCATACACATAGTCCACGTCCTGCTTTATGACCTTTTCGGTTTACTTGATAGTACACAAGTTGACCGACTCAAAAGCAGAGGGCGCGTTATGCCCTTCAGCTAGCCGTGACTGCCCAATTACGCTTAGAATCCATAAACAGACAATGTGAGCTTGCCTCAATAAAACAATGATCTTTAGTACTCTTCCATTGCCAGATGGTTTTTAATAAGATATTTGCCATTGTAGCATTTCTCGCTTAGTCAAATTTTGCAGATCAAAAGCGACTCGTACTGTCTGGCCTTTCAGGGTGCATAATTCACATTCAAAGATGGGTCGGAGTTATTTCTAAGAAATCCAGATCCTGAATAGTTGTCGTCATACGGGAGTTGACTATACTGCAGTAATATGTGGCAAAAATCATGGATTTGCGTTGTTCAACTAAACGTTGTTGATGCTAGTTGGGTTATAACATCCATTCTGTTGGTAGGGTTTCATGGTTGATTATAAGTCGAAATTGATACAAATAGTGGTTCAAGACTCTTATCTCCAATCAGCATGCGAGAAAAGTGTTGCTTGTGAGCTTTCTCTATGAGTCACAGAAGGCAACAAAAATAAACCAATGTAACAATTTCTGAACTAGCACGTGCGAGTTCGTGCGCACTTTCTGACCGCTCCACTATGTCCAAGTTTGTGTATGCAAATTTCCGAACTAGTCGATCGTATGACTTTTGCATTTTGTACGATTTTTGTGTTTGCCTCTTACGTCCCTATTGTAACTTTGTTACAACAGTAGGAATTCTAGTAGTTCGATACAGTCTGTCTCAATTGCGGTGTCCACGTCACTTCAGCCACGTTTATCGGAAATTGGAGTGCGTTGCCCAGCGCACTGCGCTCGAGTAACCGCACGTGCAAGGGAAGCAGCTGTTGAGACAGACCTTACTGCTAGAATTTTATGAAGTCCCAGTACAGCCATTTTTCACCGCTGTGTTGTGCATACACATCCGAATAGCTTTTACCACCGACCACGTATTCCTTATCGCAACGAATGATCGTCGTTGACGTTGTAATTAGAAGGAACAGATAGCGTCAGTTCCCGAGCCATCATAAGCAGATGAACTGCACTTCAGAATCTGCACTAATCTAGTGGCATTTTCAGCCTCTAATCGTGTATTAAGCACTTTTTCGCACTAATCTGACTAACTTGAAACGTCTATAGACGCAAGCAAACGATTTCGCGTGAAGAATCGGCAACGCGTCGTGACTCAAAGGCATTATCTTCAACGCACAATCGGAGGTGTGAGCTATATCGCTGTAGTCCTACTTACTTGAAGGCCTTACTAGGTTCTCACGAAGCATAGGGCATTGATTCAGAGCCAATAGTGATGCGCACCAATCAACTCACAATCAGTCGTGTCGAGAGCACTTACTGGTTGCAAAATACAACTTTGTCTAACTCATTCCCATCATCTGCTTCCAGGAAACCAGCAACATGTATTTCGAAGCGAGTCCCATCTCTAATGACTGCATCTGCACAAGTTTTTCACTGTTTTTTTTCCTACAAGCAAGTGCAAGCCTTTGTGTCTGCGCAGGGCAGTGTTGATGGCTCAAAATGATGGTAGGGTGGAAGATCTCTGATTCGCAGCAACGAGAATTCAGCTTGTTTTGGAGAAAGTGATTCCTTGCAATAATATCTGCGGCATATCAATGCTTCCGCGGAGTCGCCGCGAGCACTCGAGCTCAAAGTCAGCTCGATGAAAGGTCTAGTCGAGTGAGACAGATAACGTCGTCGGCAACGAGATGAATGCCCCTTAGACGAGTAGATTGAGGGAGTTCATCATCAGTGCTAATCGTTAGGCATATCCTGAGCAAATCATCTCCTTGCGACGGCCATCCGAGGGAGGACAGGCGAGACGCAGAGCGGATTCTCTGCTCTGTCTGCGCTCTGGCCTCGGCTTGCCTCGCTCGCCGGTCTGGATACCTCCTTTCGAGAGAGAGGCGTCACGCATCGAACGCGCTCCAGCTGACGTGATTTTCTGTCCAGATGCTCTCCGACCGTCAGTGTCAGCAATCCTGCTGTTTCCCACTCTTTTAAGCTTCAAATCCTCTTTTGAGACACACACGTGCAGTTGCCCTGATGAAGATCTATTTTCACAGCGATGCCGCATGCCCTGAATGTCTGCGAATAAGCTGCACATTTATCCTCAGGAAGCAGCCGTCTGAAATAACTCTTCCCATTTCTCGTGCCTGTATTAGTTGGACGAAGTTGACCTGGAGTTGGTTGAGCTTACCGCCGGCGCATTGCTTATATTCGAGGTCATGTTTAGTCGCGCTCACATCGCGATGCAGATTGTATATTGTACTCGGCTAGATTGCTGGAATTGATAGATATAGCATCTCTAGCTCGAAGTTTCCAGTCCTGCATAAGGCGGTCTCCATATCTGAGTTTAACTGAACATGTTCCGTTCCCATGTATATGTTTCATATTTATATCAGTGATATATTACATAATGTTTTCGAAGTTTCGCGATAAATTCAGTCTGGCCTATTCAGCCGTAACCATGCGAATCTTAATAAACATTTATCGACTAAGCTCTGGCGGGAATCTATCCATATATCAGTGTTAGCATGGTCAAAAACATGTTCAGACATGTGTTCGCATACAGATTTTGCTGCGGGTGCAATTGCACCACTACTTGTGCGCGGATTCTTTGCGGTAGGGTCTGCAAGCCAGCAAAGGAAAAGAAGTAAAACGTACAAAGACATGATTTTATCATTTTTTCGTGCAATTATCTGCCTACCACAATTAGTGCGGTTACACTAAATGATCTTCAAAAAATGCCTTCTGTATGAATCATCCCAAATCATCTTTGCATATACTAAAAGAGCAAAAGTCGCTTTTGTTGTAGGAATTCTCTCTATTAGTTTTCATCTTTTTCATTGTACCGGCTGTTTGATCAGATTTCAATATCGCTTACTATTTCGGGACAAAGATATGCGTCAGAATGGTGACGCACATCTGCGAGCTCGGTCATATAGCAATTAATCGACATTGAATGTGCGCAAGCATTCTCCCGAGTGTAAAGGGAAGTGAGCCAAGGTACGGTGTCGTACATGAGACTTTGCTTTTATGTAGGACTGAGGCTCAAGACGCATTTACATGGACGTTTTGTGCCGGTTGTCGTCCGTAAATTTTCATCATAGGAAAACATGGTTTCTGCCATTTCTTTCGCATTGCTCATCCATGATGCGATCTAGCGCCTTTTGCTCGGTCTGACTCACTATGCCAACATGCTACCAGCTCTCTCGCGACACTTCTTTATGCTCAGCACTCTTTGTAGGCGTGTCGTTGTGACGTCATCTAGATTAAGAGTCTTTACATTTCGTTTCAGACCGATGAATGCTGCGAGGTGTTGGTGAAAGGTGAAGTCATCGTTCGCTGGCTGCTTTGGGAAGACTTCTATACGTATGTGGCGCAATTCGTTGCTTGCCTGCCTCGTCCACATCGTTATCACAACATGGTATTCCGTACACTCTTACTGTGTCATGTACGATGTCTGTCACATCGTACAATCAAGTCAAATGAACTGCCGTGCCGATGAAAATTCGACTGCTCGACCGCTAAGCTCGTTGTCAAAAGATGCAGCGCAAAAATTAGAATATATTTGTCCGCATATGTTGGAAGGCGAGTTTTTGAACTTTATATCTTCTCTTGTTTCCTATCGTACATTTTATGTTCGTACTCAGTGCATATTTATTGTCTAAATAGCTCACTGCTTGCTTCGCGCACTTCTTCACGGATTCACTTTTTAGTTGCTATAACTTGCTATATCTCAAATGTATCCTCTCGTACGTTCAATAGTGTTTTTTCTATAACGTAGTTCGTAAAACGGCGAGTAACCGTACTATTTTATTTTTGAGCAATCTTGGTCTTTCTCGAAATGACAGATGCCGGAACTTGTGAATAACGATGACTAATGCCACAAAAACGTGCAAAGGCTTATCATGGGCGAGTCCAAATTACCTTACTCCTCTTTTTCGTGATAGAATTGCTTTTTAAACCCTTATCTGAATGTCACAGTCTTACGAGCGTGTCCTTATGAATGGACTTCACTTGATTTTTGTCCTTTCTAGTCTGAGAACCGGTCACACCCTTGCCAATAACACTGTGACACTGTGTAAATAGATTGGCAACTTACCATCTGCCGCTTTTTTCACCTACACTGTACTGGGACACAGATGTTTAATCGTGACTTTTATAGGTGACAATGGAGTTTGCTGCTCCTCAGCTCAAGTCTTGGCAATGCATAAACAACTGCGGCAAGCTGGCAGCCTTCTGGACAGATGCCCATCATGCTACGATAACTTCCAGAAGCTATGGTGTGAATTTACATGTTCGCCTCGACAGCACATGTTTATGGAGGTCGGGTGTCAAGCATCTCTTACATATGTAGACATTGCGAGAATACAGATTTTTCTCATAAGTGAAGAGTGAGAACCTCACCTCTTATCGTAATGCGTTGTTCACGTGTCTCTTGCTTTAAGCCAATTGTATTGAGCCGCAAGTACTGTTTTCCTTATCAGTTGACACTCGCTTGCTCGTCATTCGAGTGCTTGGCTGAAACAGCTGCTTTCTTCCGGTGTTGAATGAGCAAGCACTGATAACTACGGAAGCCCTATAATCTTTAATCTTTGAGTGTTGGAAAGGGGGGGGGGATTGTTGCAACACGTGGTTATTTGCAAATAGCCAGGACTAGTTTCTGAGATCTGAAGCAAATTCGTATCGTAGCAGCTGATGAAAGTGTCAAATTGGTGTTTTTCTTCTATTTTCTCGCTTCAATCTTTCTTATAGGTTTTGCAAGAACTGGAAGTGCCAGAGACAAACATCTCTTACATAAATCGAGTGCGATACAATGTCAGTAAGGAGTTCTCGGATGCTTTATATAACTCTTGCAAAGATGTGGGTTTCTTGAAGACAAGTTTTTTGTTTTGTTTTGACTGTTTTTGGTGCCACTTCATTGGTGTGGGTAAATGTAGTGATGTATGATTTCATCCAAATTGATTCTATTCTATAACACGGGGTCTAGGAAACTTTACCAATTGGATCTCTTAAGGTGTCCATGACGGGAAGCTCGACAAAAGCAATCCGATTAATGTGCGGTAGCTTGAAGAAGGATGAGGAATGTACAATCGATAATTGGCTGAAGTTTATGGGCACTCAAAATCATCGTATCGGCATTCCCCTGGGCATTGAGTTCAATCTTATAGATGCGAAGGTTAGACATCTTGCATAATTTACATTTTACTATGTTGGGTGTGACGATCACTCCAGTCCTCTTTTGCTGATATTCGTTACCTCCCGTGATTTCAGCAAGGGCCAGACGAAGGATCTGATTATTTTATGACTGCTCCAACAACACCATGCCATATGTCACCTCGTTATGGTCGTGACAAATGTTCTAAGCAAGACTGTCCCGCAATCCAAGTCGAAGATTTGTTTCCGAAGGATGAAGGCACTAAGGTTAACTTTTGTTAAATCATCGACTTCGACTCACTTTTACAAAAAAAGTGCAATACGTTCTACCGCATTTGTTGTTTTAAGCTGAATATGCTGCCTTGTCAGCAGCATATTCAGCTTACAGTTAGCAGCAGGGGAGGAAAAATATATGTATGAGTAAATATGCTTTCCAAGTTTGATAGGTTTTTGAGTTCGAAACTTACTGCACGCTATCCCATATCGTCCCTGTGGCAATTATAAAATATTATAAAAAAATAATTAAAAAATTATATATTATAAAATATTATAAAATACGAAGCTCACTTGACAAAACTTTTGGGAAGGGGAGGGGAGAATCTTTAGCAGTTCTTGATAGAAGTCTTTATTGTTCGTATTACTATTACCAGCTTATGTGCTATGAACCTTTTTTGTGATTTTCACTAAATTCTGCCCGCGCTCCGCATCTAATGCAAGTTTGCCCCTTTGTTGCATCCGTCCAGTAGGGCCAGACTTCGCAGACTTTTTGCAGTCAATCGCTCTCCGAGTCCTTCGTGACTGGCTGTGATGATACATAAGAAGTAAAGGTCAGCGGTGCTGGAATTCTTTGAAATGTTTTGCGATGTGATTGCTGCTTGCTGAACAGCGACCAAAGGCGTTTATTGAATCACTGCTATCTGATTCAACGCATTATTTGCAGATGTTGATGTTGAACTTTATCGCTGACAGATTCAGATTGAGTCACGATGCTGCAAAACATCTTTCACTGCAAGAAGTTGAGTTCAATGATGGGTAAAATTCTTTTTTCAGGAAGTATGTCAGGTGTTGGGCATGGGATGCAAAGTGTTTTTGCTGTTTGGATCTCTATTTATTTTCGCCGGTGTACTTATATTTATGGGTTTCTTACACTTATTTCATAGTACTAGCACGACAGACTCCGGACTGGACCGTATGGATTACAAGGTTAATCAAATCAAATAGTTGGTGTGAAGAATTTTTGCTAATTTAGAGCGTTAACACAAACATGGGTCGAATACGAACCATGGGTGCATGGATTCAGGAACAGCTCAAGTACAATGGGGAGATGTTTGGAAGAGTAAGTTTTGTTTGTCTGAATGTGCCCATGCACTATGATCTTATAATTTTTTTTCTATTATTGATAACTGGCTTTCAGTTCGTTGTCCAACATGCATGGTTCGCATTTCTTTTCGGCTCCTTCATAGCAGTGATCTCAATCTCTGGGAATGTCTTTCTAAAGTTTACTAATGATCCCTTGGAAATGTGGACGTCTGCACATAGCCTTGCTCGCCAAGAGAAACGAGTTTTCGATCAGAGTTTTGGGTGAGTGGAAATCTTCTTGATTACACCGAAATTTCGATTTTTCTTGTGAGTTTCAGACCTTTCTATCGCGTAGAGCAGGTTATAATGTATCCAAAAACTGTCGAACAGATTGTTGATGGTCCTCATGGCATGAAGATGGGATCGGTTTTCCATAAAACATTTATGCTTGAGGTACGCTTTCGAGTTAGTTTAAGGTGTAATTAGAGTTTGAGTTTTAAGGCATTCGTCATTCTTAAACGGATTTTGAGTGTAAATGCAGTGATAGGAGATGGTAGACGTATTACCTTAGATGATGTCTGCTTTCGACCAATGGGGCCCGGATATGATTGTTTGATTTTCAGTCCAACGAATTATTTCCAGGTTTGTATGTGCAAATTTTACTGTTTTCGTATCGCGTGACACGAATTAATATGTAGATCCCTTTTGAGTCTTTTTAGCGATACACTGCTGAATCTTTTTTATTGTTGTTTAGTGCAGACTCAAGGAGAGTCAGACAGGGGGAGACTTATTTTTGGTCAATTAAGTCTTATTTTAGCAAAATGCTTCCATGCTGAATATATCCTTTACGGCACTCATATCTGCTCAACAGAATTCTGAAGCTGATGACGACTTAGATTACTATGCTGACGATACTGAGGCAGAAAAGGAGAAAACAGAAACAAGAAATTACTTGAACCACATCTATGATTGCATTCAGTAAGCGAATTTCACATTGCTAATTTACAAAAATCAGTTATCGAGTCAAACAGGAATCCTTACAACATCGAAACATCAACAAACATGAGCTGCCTTGGCACCTTTGGTGGTCCTGTCTTTCCAGAGCTTGTTTTCGGTGGTGTATCGGAAAATCAGCAGGTAGTGTTTCGTTCCGTATTTTATTTCTCTTTGCTTGACTTTCATTACGTTTTAGTTGATTGAATCGAATGCTCTTATAATAACAATCCCTGTTAACGGCAAACAAAATAATTTGAAGAAGGCCATGGCTTGGGAACAAGCGTGAGTATTTGTGTCAGGATTTTTGGTCGTTTTTTTCTCTGCTGTATGAAGGGTTCGATTGCCCACAGTTGGCGTTAATACGAAGCTATTCGCTCAGAACTATATCAGGTGGTTTTTTTTAGCAGGAAACCATGTGCTGCTTCAGGTTCATAAATTTGATGAAGGAGTACAAGCATGATGACATACAAGTATCATTCATGGCTGAGCGGTCTATCTCGGTTAGTTTCTTGACTCTCTAAGTGGCTCTTGGGCTTACTAGACTATCATTACCCTGTGCATCACGCGCGGTATTGAACTTTTATCTGTGAGCAGATAATTTTGGTTAACGCGCTGTGCTCCGATAGGCTTTGCATCACTTACAGGCCCAGGGTACTGTAGGCGTTTCGGTGCAGTGTACCCTAGCCCGCTTGTATACGTTTGTGAAAAACAGATCAAGGAGGTAGCAAGATCTAGTATTTAGTGAGAAGATACCAAAATTTTTATGTTCAGACATATAGATTAGACTTGCAGAAGGAGGTAAACTTGCTTTGCTTTCGTTATCGCATTGGAAAGCATTACCGAACGAAGTGCATTACAGGACGAAATAGAGAGGGAAAACTCGTCGGATGTCTACACAGTCCTTATCAGCTGCATACTGATGATTGGCTACGTTGCGTTTGCTCTCGGGCAATACATAGTCACTGACAACAATTTACTGTCATTACTGGTACACTCAAAAATCATCGCGGGCGTAGCTGGTGTTGGCATCATCATGTGCAGCGCAGCCAGGTATTTCAACTAAATTTTGATTTCGCCTAAGTCTATACGTAGTGATGTTTTTTAGTTCGATTGGTGTATTTTCTCTCTATGGAATAGGAACATCTAAAGCAGCTCTTGTGGTTCTAGTATTCGTGGCTCTCGCTGTGGGTGTGAATCGAATTTTCATCATAGTTCAAGCCTATCAGGTAAACTTTAGATTATTTATGTCTTCTAATTGACTTTGTTTCGCTAATTTGCAACTATATAGAGGCTTGAAGACGTTGCTGGACAGTCAGTTGAAGATCGAATTGCAAGGGTCTGCGGACAGGTCATGCCGTCGATGTTGTTGAGCACTCTTTCTGAAAGTCTATGCTTTTTTGTTGGTGAGTGTTTGCTTTGCCTTAAAGGTTTTTGATCTAACTTGTCATATATGTTATTTCAAAGCTTTTTTCTTCACGTCTACTCCGCACTGTTGCAGGTGCAATTTCTGATATGCCAGCAGTTCGAGGCTTTTCGCTGTTCGCTGGCCTTGCCGTTATTTTTGACTTCGTCTTCCAGAACACAATCTTCTTGGCAATATTTGTCTGGGATTGCAAGAGAGAAGAGGTTTGTGTAGAATGTTTTTTAAGTGTTTGTAGTGCTATATTTTCTAGGAGGGGAAGCCTGAACTAATGTATCATCGTAAGCTTGACTCTGAACGAGTCGAGAGTGAGGGTTACATCTACGAGGTGATGAGCAAATATGCAGCCCCACAACTGATGAGAAAGTGGATGCGAATGACTGTGGTCAGTGGTTGCATTCATCTCGCTGCTCGCTCTTCTCTTAATTTCATATGTTTTTCTAGCTAGTTGTATTCATTCTATGGTTTTGTTGCTCACTCTGTATATTTCCTTTTCTGAATCCTGGGTTTGACCAGAAAGTAGCAGTTCCCGAGGTAAGCACTTAAACTCGCAACTTCTCGACATCTCTAAGTATAAGTTACAATTTTGAGGACTCGTATGTCTACCTTCATTTCAAAAACTTGGATCGTTTGATGAATGTAGGACCACCCGTTTACTTTGTTGTAGAGGGAGAACTCGACATGCATACTAAGCAGATACAAGTGAGTTTTTCTTTTTCATTGTTTGTTCGAGAAAAAGATTGAATGAGCCTGGGGTTCGAAGAGTTATTAATTCCATACTATACGAAAGCGGAATGATATTCAGGACAAATTCTGCACTATTGGTGGATGTTCCGAGAATTCTGTGGGTGCAATATTGAACGAAGCTGCTGCGCATTCTAATAGGTTTGTACGACCAGTCTTACAATAATTTCCTTTTACGAATAGAAATTTGTTCCAGGACGTACATCAAGGGAACGGTGTTGAACTGGGTTGATAATATGATACAGTGGCTCAACAAAGAGAGTGACTGTTGCAAGGTGTACAATTACGACAAAAATGTCTTCTGCCCAAGTAATAGGAAAGACTGTGGGTCGAATTCCTTTGTTTGGTTACAAATGTTATTGCATCTTCTTTTTCAGCTTACAACTGCTCTAGTTGCGATCCTAATCAGAGGAATGGACGACCAACGGAAGAACCTTTCTACAAGCACTTGAAGGATTTCATGAATGATGTGCCTAATGCAAACTGCATTGTTGGGTGAGGATAAACTGTTAGGTAGTTCTGATATTACGGCGATGACAAAAATTATTCCAGAGGAAGAGCTGCTTTCAAAGATGCTATTCTTCTGAATCCACGCGGTCATGTGCAAGCCTCACATTTCATGACTTACCATACGCCGCTTCGCACTTCTCGAGAGTTCATCTGTGAGTTTAGCTCTTCTGCTCCGTCTAATGTCCACTTGTCATAAGCTTCTCATTTCCGCAACTGTGGACCTATTATCCTTCCATGAATTTACAGTAGCCATGGAGGGTGCTAGGAAGGTTGCGCGGAAGATCGAGCAGTCATTCAACGGAAAAGTGCATGTTTTCCCATATAGGTTTGTCAATCTCTTCCTGACCATACTCATATATCATCTGAATTATAGTATTTTCTACGTGTTCTACGAGCAGTACTCGACAATCATTTATGATGCAAGTACTCAGATCACTTTGTCCTTGGCGGTTGTTTATGCTGTAACGTGTGTTTTACTGGGTCTCGATCCGGTCAGTGCTTTCGTTACTGGTAAGTGATGGTTGCATACTATGTGATCTCACTCAGTGTTCTATTCTGCCCATTTCAGTAGTAATTATTGTATGTATCCTTGTTGATATGCTCGGTCTTATGGTTCTGTGGAGCATCGATCTAAATGCGATATCCGTCGCAAATTTGGTGATGGTAAGCTTTCATTACCTTACGGCCTAATAACTACGGCAGAGTCCGGCTAGCTCAAATAATAAGTTACAAATTCAGTCGCTTGGTATCTCTGTGGAGTTTATCGTTCATACTATAAGAATATTTACGCACTCGGTGCGACGAACGCGTATAGAGAGGGCTGAGGAAGCACTAGCGCAAATGGGATCCACGGTATTCACTTACTTTATGTGAGTCTACCTGTACTCAATGCCTATCGTTTTCAGGTTTTCTCCGGAATTACACTTACAATGTTGGGAGGAACGCTGGTGTTAGCATTTGCACATTCTCAAATATTTAAAGTGAGCTCTTTTTTTGTTTGAAGCTCTTCGTGTATGGTCTAGTTTTCGTTTGAGCGATGCTTTTGCAGGTCTTTTATTTCCGCATGTTTCTTGGCGTTGTGATTATTGGAGCTTTGCACGGTTTAGTATTCCTCCCGGTTGTGCTTTCTTTCATTGGTAAGTTTTCCATGATCTCTATATACAGTCTCTTCTCAGTTCTATGTTTTTGCCATTGTTTGAAATGTGTAAGTCCAACGTATTGTGATCCTTGTGGACGATACCTTATCCAAATATTCTTTTTCGCGCATTCTGTAAATCGACATGACTTAAAGGCAGCATCTCTGCAAAGTGATAGGTAATGGGACTTTGAAGCGTCGCAACTGCAACCCCCACGTAATCTATGAGTGGTCTGAAAAAGCGTTTGATAACCTTGAATCCACTTCAGAAGTCTTCCGGACCCCGCTTCCTCGTTCCGAATCCCTACCGCTTACACGTATTTTCAGCGGCGGACGTGAAGAGCTTCACAAAAGCTCGTTTTCCCATTTCCATGCGCTGCAAAGATGTGGGTTCAACATGGCGAGAAGGCTCCAAAAAATGAAAAACTGGGAAGCTAAATTTTGCCGGGACATTGTCCTTACGCGCTCTATAAATTATCTCGTACCTTAGCCTATTAACAGCGACTAATGCCTCTTCGACAGTTACACGATGTTTCCCAGGGGGCCCGAATCAGATATGAATGCTTATGTAGATTGAGCAGTAAAACATTACCCCAGTTATTTCGTTTGCAAGACTGCAGTCGCAGGCAGGCTAAGGAGTTCGGCTTTTGCGCTGGTAGTCTCCTGTTCCATTCTGAGACTGTCTCTTAGAACATGTTTTCTTCACTTCTATTATACTACATCAGTGTTCCACACCTTTCAGATTGAAATTCATAATATCAAGCATTTCAGGATCTCCCATTAATCGACGGCTGCTTCAAGATAAATTGCGTGAAGAAGGAACTTTGCCAGAACAGCGAAGTGAGCAACATCCAAAACTCAGGCAAGGATTGTCGTGGTGAATTTATGAGTTGTTGGTCCTATACAACATGGCTAAAAAAGCGTTTTCTGGTCTTATTCGCTTTTAAGGTCTAGTGCATTACCGAAAAAAAGCGTTTTCTGGTCTTATTCGCTTTTAACGTCTAGTGCATTACCGTTTTTGAAGCTTGCACATAAGATGCTATGTTTCAGTGACAGGTTGACAGCATCACTGCCAGCAAATGTTCCCTTTGTGGATGATCCAAAAGAGAAGCTTCAGTCTCACTCTCCCTCCATCTCTGTTGATGTCCCAGCAAAAGCTTTAGAAGGCCCCATGCTCCAACATCTCAGGTTGGACTGAGCGTGGCGTTTCGCATAAAAAGCTTGGATTTCATACTAGAGTTGCACCCTTCACTGTGTACACTAATATCACAGTTCTGTTTGCTGATGCTCGGTGATGTGTGTTAAACATCATCCGGTGTCTTTGCCTCGTTTCGATTAGATCGAACTTTACTGTTGAAAAAATGTGATCAATCTTTGCTCAGGGTCACCATAATATATTCCATGCTCTTTCAAACAGCTCTTCACTATGTTTCTGTGTATAAGCTGCACACTCGAGGTGAGATGGTATAGGGCATGTCTCATAATATTCTTTCTTGTTTCTCCTGTAACAATGCGGGTTTGTTGCAATCAATGTTTGTAATAATATCTCAAATTGTTGTTACTGCTTTCTTTCACTTACACTCGAGTTGTGACTGTTCCATGTATATCATGTTAATAGGTTTCCAGTCACTTACGTTGTTTATTTTAGCTTTATGATATGTGCAAATCTCAGTTAATAATTTATACAGAACTCACATTTTGTAAATACTCTATCTAGATGGTGACAAGCCAGACTATATGGTTTGCGTCTTCTTTTTGTATGGAATGAACTTCGGTATTTGTAAACGCTCTTGTTTTACCAAGAAACCAGATAGATGCTACTTTCCTCTGCAAGAGATCGAATGAAGAATTGACTCAAATCGTAGCATTTGAGAGTTCAGATTTATTGAGTTGTTTCACATAGGGTTCGCCAAATTGTAAAGGTTGTATCGGCTGCGGACATAAAAATGCTTAGGCCCGTATGCACGTACATCCCCGCTGGGGAGGGGAGGGGATCTGAGAGGGGATGCGTGATATCTCGCTACTTTACGTATCTTTCTTCTTCCTTTTCTATCTTGCTTATGAAGGTTCTCATACCCTACTACCTGCGCATAATCGATCCTAGGTTACTGGCATAACTGATTAGATTTGTACTATTTTGTGTGATCCCCAGGGGATCCCCAGGGGATCACCTCTCATTTTCAAAGTCATTTACCTTCCTGAGAAATCAATAAAAACGCCGCAAAATTGTACTGAGGATATACTACGGTACTGCTAAGCATGTTCAAAGTAAAAGTAAGTGAAATCCCAGGATATCGAAATCTTCGGTAATCCCTGGCTCAAAAGCTAGGGATCATCGAAAAATCCACAACCTTCAGATTCCATTTTTTCTGTCGAAAACATGCTTAGCAGTGCCGTAGTATATCCTCAGTACAATTTTGCGGCGTTTCCATTGGTTTCTCAGAAAGATAAATGACTTTGAAAATGAGGGATGATCCCCTGGGGATCCCCTGGGGATCCCCGGGGGATCACACAAAATAGTACAAATCTAATCAGTTATGCCAGTAACCTGGCATCAATTATGCGCAGGTAGTAAGGTATGAGAACCTTCATAAGCAAGATAGAAGAGGAAGAAGAAAGATACGTAAAGTAGCGAGATATGGCGCATCCCCTCTCTGATCCCCTCCCCTCCCCAGCGGGGATGTACGTGCATACGGGCTTTAGAGTGATTGAAAGCTATCTACTGACAGGAAAGAAGGAGTAGGAACACTGAGAAAGTTCTGTGTAGAGCATGGACGCAAATTCACCGACCTCAATACCATGCGGAGCTTTATACTTCGGGAGAGCACCCAATGAAGCCTTTCATGTTCAAGAGGATCAAGCTGCCTACCTCGTCCAGACACGCATGGATCGGGTGCATCAGCACACGGGCATGTGTGAAAAATAAGATCCATTTTTGAATTAGATAGAATCAAGTTCGGAGCAGGTTTTGATAGTCCTTACCCTTAGATGATGTGAGTTTATCAACAATGCTGTAGTGCGTCATTTCAATACTCATGGACATTAAAGCCCATGGGACACACTACGTAGAGAGGTAAATAAAGGCGGAAAATAGGCAGGACTTCAAAAGCTGTTTTCATTGTAAAATACATGCGAATACACGCACAATTCTCTTAGTTCAGAAAAGATGGAAAATGTCATACTATGTACATAATCGTTCGCGAGATAATGTAAGACACAAAGTCAAGTATTTTTGACGGGTAGCTGAGCACAGTGCACGTTTTCGAGATACACTCTGTGTCAACTGCGTACTCCCTTTTGCGTAGGAACTACGTACCAGCAACGCGAGCGCTTGTGTGCGCACCTCCGATCGATTATGTCCATTTTAATACCCGAGAAGTACGTGCGCGAATGCGCTAAACTCCAACGTAGCGATTGCGCCGACGGGGAAGGGTGTACACGATTGACACAGACCAAAAATCGAAGTTATTTGTATTTAAATTCAAGATTCATCGAAATAACAACGGTCTTGAAAAATGGCAGCAAACATGACAAAAGCGAATGATCACATAGCAAAGCGATTGTTCCTATTATGACTCAATATTGACAGCGACTTGACTCCCTCTCGTGGTGTCGTCGATAGTGGATTCCTGGACATGATGTTCGCGTTTGAGACCTCGTCTTGGGTTTATCCTATGGTTCTTAGCGTCTTCCTTGACAGGACTGCGTATGACATAGCTGAAAAAAAAAACTTGGTATTTTCCGTGTCCTTCTGTAAAAACCGGCCTTACACAATATCTCCTGCTTCAAGTTGCAAATCTGAAGCTGGGTTGATGATGACGAACGAGATTGTGTTAGTTTTGTCTGCACCATCACCATCATCTAGCACTGAAAGATAACCAATTCTGAGCAGACCTTGAGAGAAATACAAGAGGATTCTACTCAAATATTGAAGTAAAGTGGGTAATAAAACACAGAATATAAGTTTTACCACCTGACTGCTTCGTGAATAAGTGTCATATCTTACTGGATTATTCTTGATCTTCCAGATGTCTGTCGATAGTGATTATTGATCTACAGTCAATACCAACGAGCGCTCGAACCGCTGCTAAGCCAATCCACATTTTTTCTTTCTTTTACTAGGTGCAACTAAGCATCGATCCAAGTTGATGAGGAAATTAACGGTTTTGTTTTTTGAATTACGTGGTTTTGCACTTATCCTTGACTTAAAATCTTTCTTCTGTCCATTAATAAATCGTCATTGTTAAAGAGGATTAGAGTGCGCTATTGCAAATTCAGGGCCATAGTTAATTACGGCTATTACGCCAAATCACTAACGTTATGCAAAATCTCTTTGAGCCTACTGCCAGAAGATGTCATTGAGATGCAGAAGACATTTCTGCATCTCAGTGACATTTTCTGGCATATATACTCTGGTATTATTTGAACATTTTTCGCCAAATCGCTGAATTTGCTCCTAGGTGTAGTTGATTTTTAACTGCAGAGACTGGACATCACTGCGGAGTACGCGCCGCGGGGTAAAACGCTTGAACCCGGGCCAATCCGCATTGTATAAGTCGTGCTCTCGCGAAAAATCAGCCGCGCCGCGCGTGGTCCGCACTATTTGAGCAGTCCGTGCAGTCAACTCGACGATAGATTCCTTATCAGGTGGAAGCAACTGACAAGGGAAGTATACCAGCATTAGTCGGCGATTGAAGATGAGATGTACAGTCTGCCCCAATCGGGATCAGGCATACGCGCGCTGTCGCAGGAAGCGAAGAGATTGAGGAGAGAGGCAGACTAGCTACTCAGACACTGGGACCGGCCGAGCCGCGGCCCATTTCCGGCTGGGATTTCGCAGCGTCCGCGGACCAGCCGGTGAATGGTCCGCGGCTCAGCCGAAAAACGGCCTCGGCTCAGCCGGAGCTGGTTGTCGGGCCATCTAGTTCATTCTAGCTCGGATACAAAACGACTGTTTTTTTTTATTCACTAGCACGTAAAATACACGCTGTGAAAAACAAGAATTGAGGCCACAGACATGGCCGCTTCGGAGACCATGTCCGGCTTCAGGATTGGACAACACAAAGTGCTATCCAGCTGTTGCACCACATATTCAAGTGTTGTACAACATATTGTTCCTGTTCCTGCCTTGGAGACTGGAAAGACAACGGAGGCTATGGACACTGAGGGCAGCCTGACCATGCGTCGTACATCACGCAAGTGTTCTTTACGCTCAGATACTAGGACCGGCCGAGCCGAAAATGGGCCGCGGCTCAGCCGGTGTTTCGTAATAGAGATTTTGGTCCGCGGCTCAGCCGGTGCAATCATATCGACATGAATTAAGGTCCGCGGCTGGGCCGGTAAGCCATATTCGGTCCGCGGCTGGGCCGGTCTTCGGCCACGCCCCCAAATTAAGGCCGCGGACGGGCCGGAAAGGCCTTTTGAGGCCGCGGCTCAGCCGGTCCCAGTGTCTGAGTAGTTACTTAAGCGTGATTTCTCCATGTGGAAGCTTCCACTAGCGAGCCCAGTTACCCAAAGCATTTAATTTCCTCTCCCCAAGTAAAAGCTTTTCTTCACCAGCGAGACCAGTTACTCAAGCGTTGGTTTCTTCAGGTTGAAGTTCATCTCCGCCAGCGAAACCCAGTTATCCAAAAGTTGGATTCCTCCCCCCCCCCCCCCCAGAAAAAAAACGCTTTTCTCCATCATCGAGACCCAATCACCCAACCGATGGGTTTTCCCAAGTGGAAGCTCATTTTCACCCGCGAGAGTTACCCAAGGAGTTGGATTTCCTTCAGTAAACGCTTTTCTCCACCATCGAGTCCCAATACACGAGCGATGGGCTTCCTCCAGTGGAAGCTCATCTTCACCCAAGACCAGGTTCCTCATGTTATCTATCTCAAACTAAGAGAGTCTTAACCGCTTTGCACATGTCGTCTAAACAAATTGGACTTGTTCTCTCCTGGCAAGAAGTGGGTAATGCTTAATTGGGGAGTACAAGCGTAAGCTTGTTAACCACGCATTTGAGCTTGTTTCAGTTGGTACTACTCCAGTATACCGAACCGGATGTGGATGTACCTTCCTAAAACTTGCAACACTTTTATCACTAGCGGACAAATACATAGCGCTGTCTCAAAGTTAGCGGAAACAGCTTCGAAAATCATCCATACATCGCTAAAGCCGAGTGTAGCTGCACTCCTCCGCTGTTATCAGTGTGACAACCCACCAGCCACTTGGTATATGTTACGCAAAGCGTTCACGGTCATCTATTTAGTCAGAATCAATTAGTTGCTTGATTTCTTTCTCCTCTTGTCTGCATCATCTGTGTCTCTTCCTCATTCATCTGCAAAAAATTTGCCTGGGTTCTTCGCCATTATGGAGGACTAGGAGGAACCAAAGGCCTAGCCTCTGTATCCGAAGAAGGTAATTAAAAGCGCGAGCACTGCGGAGGAGATTTGGCCAGGATCCAAGAAAACTTAATAAAGAAATCAAGGTGGACCGTAGAAAAATCAAATCTCATAGCTTTGCTTGAACGCTTCGAAAATCATGGAAGGCAATTTTGAATTCCGCTTTTCATGGCTTTGTTTAGAATGAAAGAATTTGCCTCTATTATAGTGTCTCATCAGAACTCTCTTTCGAAATATCGTGCGCACACCGCTGAGTGGATGTTCCTCACCCCGTAAAGAAAATTCCATTCACTGCCTTCGATTTTAGTTTCATATTACTCATTCACTTCAATGCGGGAGGAAGTGGACTATCCCCCGAATTGCCTGCCAATCCCATGTTGGGCCAGTGATAGGGAGCTCGTCAGCAAGCTAAAAATAATTCCGAGAGTAGCAAGGCATTTTCGTTTCATCAGACATCTGATTGTTGTCATAACAAGCTGATTGTCGCTGTCATTAGCACTTCCATTTAAGTGCCATAGTTTGATTTGGAAGCTCTTATTCCTCAACAACACACTGTTGCAGACATTGGCTGAGGCGCTGTCGCTTTCCGATACAAACAACGAAAGTGGGAATCCACGCAGATACGGGACGCTTCTACGTCATCTGGCCAAAAGGTGCTTCTTGGAAAATAGGAACCACGAGGTGCAGCTCTTGCTAGCGTGCTGTATTGTGGATATATTCCGGGTTTTTGCACCGAATGCACCGATCATGGCCACGTCTCAATTGAGGGTAAGTAATTTGAATAGAGGTCTGAGTTTTCTTCGGTATCGATGCTCATTAAGGATGTCCTCATCTTTCTGGTTCGTACATTTCAAAGTCTACCATCATCATCAAATTCTTTATTTCCGTCATATCTCTACATACTCGGGGTGTGTCCGTTTTAACATTAGTATTTCCATGTTACCTGTTAACACATTCACGACAAGGCCGATTTTTCGATTACTGCCGTTTCGGACCAGAGCCTTTTTCGCTTTTTCAAACTTACTACCCGCCCGTGGGTCTTTTTTTCGAAATGGTAGTCTGTTTGAAAGAAATATAAAACATGTCTTCGAGAAGTTCCCCACAAGGATTGTCGAAGGCGCTCCCCACAGTGGGACTACGGTAGCAGTTATACTTGAAACGACCGAATAATTTTGTCGAACGAATGAATTTCGAGTAATCGGCTTTTGAAGAATATTCGAACGAACGAATATTATTCGATCTGTGACTTTCAGATTATTCGAATTCGAATATTCGAAGAATACTACATTTCAAAATTCGGATGAACGAATATTCGAATAATTGGACTTTCTCGAATATTCCAGTATTCGAATAATTGAATATTTCGAATAGGTTATTCGAACACGAATATTCGGTTCTAACTATAGTAGCAGTACGGCAGAATTTTCGTCAGAATCCAGAAACTGATGTAGAAAGGCGGTACTAGAAATTGGGACTATCATTTTCGTAATCAGCATGCTAAAAAACCTGTATATTCAAAGTTTGAGCTTCTTGGGATGAACAATGCGAAAAATCAATGAAATCGATAAAATCGACAAGATGGGCTGACATCAGTCTCGTGCCCTCCCTGCATTTCTCGTGCATGTAAACTTGAATTTTCAAAAACAGCACCACTCTGCGAAAAATCTGACAAGGGAATGGTCAGAAGTCGAAGTGGCCAAACCAGAGAAGCTGTATATCATTCGATGCAGTTTAAAAAGCTGGCTTCAAATCTGTCTTCCTTATCTGCTTCTCGCTTCTGTGGACGAAGCTACAGGCGGTTTTATTGCGAAAAAGTCATACATAAAACCAGCGAAATTGAGCACATTGTTGCGCTTTTAGCTCAGCTTCTGGCTTCAAAAATTTTAAGTAAGCTAGCTGCATGTTTTGGCCCAGCATTGAGGCGAACGTGGCTCTAAACGGTTAAATTTTCAATTTCACGCATAATTTCTTAGCAAAATAATGGTCTTTAATGGCTTATAGCTTCGTCCAGAAAAGCGATAAGCAGGTAAGGAAGACAGATTCAGAGTTAGCGCTTCATGCTGCATCTAACGGTATGCAGCTTGTCTGGAATGGCCACTTCGATTTCTGACCATTCCCTTGTGAGCTGAAGTTTGTGCCTTACCTCTATCTACGGTATATCTACCGTAACATCACGGTATCCCGAACCCGGACCGCTCTGGCTGGAGCTTCGCCAACTCAGACAATCGCCGGGGGCAGGCGGGCACCGGAAAAATAGATTGCTGATCTCGCGCACCCCGCTCGCGGATTTTTTGGAAAGCAATCAGGACTTTTCGGAAGACCGCTTGCTGAGTTCTCGATTCCTCAGAGATTCAGCAATATATCTGCAAAAGATAAGAGCGAAAAAAATTCAACAGGCGGTCTCTCAAAAATCCGCTGACTCAGCGAGCGGTCTTCCGAAAAGTCCTGATTGCTTTGCAAAAAATCCGCGAGCGGAGTGCGAGAAATCAGCAATCTATTTTGCCGGTGCCCGCCTGCCCCCAGCGATTGTCTGAGAGGGTGTCCCCAATCATGTGCAAAGGAATCTTACGACCCACCGGTGGGTCGTATGAAACGGCAGAATACGTACGATCCACCGTTGGGTCGTATTGTCGTGAATGTGTTAATGTTCTGTTTCCAAACGTATGATACACAAAGAATATCTCTGCAGAACCTCCACGATATAAGCACCTCAATGCTGACACGGTACTTACCACCAGACGACGCAGGTCAGGTCATTTGTGCATTACTGAAAATTGCTATGGAAATTGCTAATGGGGAGGAGTGGAGAAACGAATTACGAGAACGCCGTAGTAGAGACAAGGTGATGATTTCCATTTGCTATTCTTTCTCAAGTTTTTTTTTACAGGTCATTGGTCTTCTAACTGAGATGATTTCTGAAGGTCTAGGAGATGTTGATCAAATATCTCTTGAAGTTCTCGATATTTTATTTTTCTACTTAATTGAGCCACAGAAGGTATGAATTTCGCATTCAGAGCATATAGAAAGAATTTTTTCAAATTTCAGCTGAATTGTCGCGAATCTTACACCATGTCCCGTCGAATTATCCAGTTGTCGCAAACATCTCTAGGAGTCGCAATACAGTCGGTGCGTTGGATACTGTTGAGACTTCTTGCTCGAAGCATCCGCTTTTTGTAGTTACTAGCACAATCACTGCTGGCTGGAAGTTTCCCGGATGAGTGCGAGTTGATTGGAAGGGTCGTGAGCAGGTTCACAAAGTGATAATAGAGCTCAATGAAGCTGCTCCAGAGATTGCTGCTCGATTTTGTCCGCAACTTTCTCGTTTCTTACAGGTGAGCTGCAGTGCAATTGGTCCAAGTTTCATAGCTCGGAAATGTTTCTCTTTACAGGCAGCAGGCCTTACAATGCCGTCGGCGGCAACAATGGCACCGACAGCTTCTGCTGACGACGCAACGCAAAGCGCAGCTACACCGGGGGTTAGCATAGATTTGTATGTTTCTACCCATTTTTGTGCACCTTCAATGTCTTGAGTTTATAGCCGACATCTGAGGGTATGCCTGCGCATAGCCGTAAGCGGCGCCGTACTACTCGTCGTCGGTGCTAAGAAGAACATAGCTACGAATTCATAGCGGTATCAGAGCTGCTTACTCTTTGATTCACGGTTATCTGGTAGGGTGGAGTGTAAGGAACCATTTCCAAGTTCCTCTTCGTTTGTCTGTATGATTATCTGTCTGTCTGCATGTGTGTATCAATGACTGTAGTCAGCTCTTGAAGGCAGTGTCCCGGCAGATTTTGCACCTCCACCTTTTTGCATGTTTTAGGCCTTTTCGCCACGTAGAATCCGAATTTGAGCTTTGAACGGGCTGAAAAGGCCGATTTTGGGGCGTTTTCCTAATTCCAGAAAGCAGCTTAGACGAGATTTTTGATGGAAAGTTGGGGGAGGTCCTCAGACGAAGATCCTGCCGCCTGTAATTCTTGCTTTGGATAGCATGCATCATGGGGGAGAGCGCTCGTGGGGTCCCGCGCCGAACAGGCGGGGAAGGCCGTCCAAGCGCGCGCCAGTTGGGGTTGCGCGCGCCGGTTCAAGGGCCATTTTCTCGGCCCAGGGGGAACATCACCCAGCCGGAGTGCGCCTGGAGGTCGATGGGGTGACCAGGAACCCCACCACACGTGTATCCCCCAGGACTCGAATCTGCCGGGACGCTGCCTTTGAGCTCTTCTCATCATTCGTTATATTTAGAACATGGAGTACAGAATTATTTTCCTCATCGTTTGCCTTCCCCCTGCCGTTTTGTTTCTATTTTGTTTGTGTTCATTTTTTCACTACTCGTATTAACATGGTATGAGCCTACCGGTGTGCTACAGGTTTTCCTGTACTTCAGTCTGTATGTCAATTTGGTTAATGTTTAATGCTCGTTCTTTATCAACTGCTGTGCTGGCAATTTTTGAAACAGAGTCAAAAGTGCGATACTTGGCGTTAACTTGTTTCAGTCAATTCTGTTTGGTTAGTTCCACGAGAGTTCTTTGAAACTTCTTAGTCTATAAACTTGAACATCATCATGTGCCGAAAGCCGTCTTCAGTGAGCTGTCAATCTCCATCACTACTTATAATATTAGGTTGTCCCAAAGTTTTGTCGGTTTTTTTAAGCTACTATACATGCATTCGATGCAGCTTTCCACTCTCTTTCCTATGGATTCATTTGCGATCCACAATCTTGTATGCTTCTTTTGATAATTACCAAAATTCTCCACCCGTCAATTTTATCTGCTCAAAGCTAGGCCAATTTCTAAATTCATTCCAAAGTTTCGGAAAGGGTCAAGTATGGATGAAATAGAGCAATTCTCGGACTGCAAGGCGGTTTTTTAGTTTCTGCTAATCTGCTGTTTTTAGCTTCAAAATTATTTCTTCGGAGGTTTCGATTTTTGGCAAAGTCATGAAACACACAACTGCAGCAAATACACGAAAGCTTTTGAAGTTTCTGCAAAATGAAGCCTGATTCGTATTAAACATTATCTATGAAACATAACCAAGTTTGATTTGCTTTGAAAAAGCAGCTTTTTGGAATTTTCGGCACTATTACGTGCCTAAACGTAATCAAAAAGCCGCGGTTTTTGTTGAATAAATAATTATAACGGACTTGGAAAACGTGGCCCATGTAAACTATTAGGGTGTCCCGTAATTATTCACCGTTTTTACCTTAAACATCAGCATTTCTCGAGAACTGGGGCACCTTCAAAAATTCCAAATACATGATCGTACTTCTGTACGTATGAGCTATATGATCACATGTGTGCGAGGAGCTCAGGACTTCTAGGGGTGGAGTTTGCCATTTTACTCCATTCAATTTTTTCTTTATTTCTAGCCATGGAAAAAATACGGAAATTGTATAATTGAATGTTCTATGTGTCAAGCACATGCTAGGTTGAATAAGGAATTTTCTAGATCTTTTGGGCGGAGATACGATTTTTGATAGAGAAATTCGATTTTGACTGCTATCATAGTTCAGCTCAAAACTTTACATGGATTACGATTTGTGCAGACTCCTGATAGCCATCTAGTAGAGCTTGCTTTGCCCTATCGAATGGTTACTCAAGCCGCATTAGTTAGAGGAAAGATACAAAAAGGCGACCGTCGAAGAAAAAAGGGTAAGTAATTATGGGACAACCTAGTAAAATGGATACAATATAGCCGAAGGTTTGCTCTACATAACGGTCACCAGCGCTTTTTGAAAACATCAGAATAAAAATTTTGAAAATTGAGGAAAGATTTGGCGTTACTGCTGAGCTACTCAAAAAGCCATGGCGATAACATTGCAAAGACAGGGTAGATCAGAGAGCAAACAGAATTGTGATAAGGGGGATAAAAATCTAAGTCAAATGGTACCTAAATTTTCCGTGGATTGGCGTTCTGTGAGTTTTAGTGAGCGATGAGAAATACGGACAAAGCTTTCGGAACAAGCTAATAGCATGAGTTTCTGCACTATCCGTGCACGATAACAGATGGTGGACGAGGAGGTGCCCGATGAGATGCGGACCTCTTTGCATTTCAAAACGAGACATGTTTTCATGTATACCGAACCACCTCGAATTTTTTCTTCGCCCATAGATTCGGCCTAAGGACAAAGGAAGTCAGCAGTCAGAAGCACGCTAAAGCTTTTCTAGTCGAAGCACTATACAAATCTATGATTCTGACCGCCCGCCGCACTCCTATCATAGTTCCCGAGAATTTCCTCCATGTAAAAAATATACCCCACGTTTGTAAACTTTAGGTTCTATTAACAGTCCTCTGACTTTTTTTAGAGATATATCATATATCTAATTATTACTAGAAACTGCATTCAATGATCGATGGCTTCTGTGCAATGCCGTGTCTACCATGCATCGGCTGCATCGTTGCTAAGGTGGGCGACATTCAATTTCTCGTGTGAAATTTTCTGGGTGTCGTTCAAAATTTTGTGCCAAGTTCTTCAGTTGTTGTGAACAAATGCACTACGGAGATGATTCTAACTTTGGAGGCAAAACGTTTATAAACAATGAGATATTTTTTTTCTGTTGAGTAAAGAAAAAGTAGTAAACTTACACTCGTCATCCATTGACATTCCCATATTCCTCATTCGACTCCTGACGTGGTTGTACATGTCCTTTCTTCTCTCCCTTGCTGTATCGGCAATGTCTATAGTTTTGCACTTTTCTTCCATATCACTGGATACCTTAAATTTCCCAAAATAATCAGAACTTATCATGAACATTCTCTTTCTGGATATTTTTTGAGACCAAAGACACTGCATTCAATAGGGAGATAAGTCAGGGAAATGACTTGCTAATCTAGAACTGGTATGGGTAACTTCATGGTTTGTTTTCCGACGAAGGCAAATGCGCACATAAGCGAAGCGCACGCGAGCGCGTTGCGCGGAGTTTCTGTATCTCCTGCGCTTGACGACTATGTGCGTCGAAAATATGACCTGACTTTGTTGTGCTGGTGTAGTTTTGCAAAAGGCCGAGCTAACTTACAAGGGAAGCGTGTGTAGTGGAAGTGGCCTTTCCAGATGAGACCCATAATGCTTTAAAGAGCATTAAGCGGTGATTTCAAATCTGCCTTCTAAATCTGCCAAGCGCCTCTGGACGCCGAGTTATGGCCGTTTTTTGGAACGAAAAATCAATGCAGAATTTGGGTAAAATTGATTATTAAAATTTTTACAGCGCTCAGATACAGCAATGTTAAGTGTTAGCATCTTATATATAAAGCTGAATGTCTGTTTGTATGTATGTATGTCTGTATGTCTGTCTGTACGTATGTTCCGAATAGAAAATTCCATTTCTGAACCGATCGGGACCAAACTTGGCACACATACACTTCGGGCCCCGGCGGGTGTCATAGGCTACTTTTCGTATCGATCGATATCGATTTTATCGATTTTTTTGCAAAGTTTGAGCTACGGGGCTGGGATTTGGCACAGGGGGGTAATCGAGCATGGGTTACATAACGGAAAATCAAGGTGGAAGAGGTTTAGATTTTTTAAGAACGATTTTATCGTAATTTTTTGCATCCTGACTAGTGAACCAGTGAAACTAAAGGTGCTATTTGGGAGAGCGTTCGCTTCGGGACCGCCACGTGGTTTCCCGCTATGTGCACATTTTTGAATTGCGCTTGCGATCTTTTATATATTAGATTAGATAATGTTTGACGTTTGTTTATAACATAGCATCTCTATTCCATGGGAGCTGCTGAATCTGCAAAAAATTTTCTGAGATCGCTTAACCCAATTACAACCATTACTTGTAAGATTTTTGATGTTCATCTATCCGTGGAAATCAGTTGAAGTCGTGATAGCTGTTGGATGTTACATCTATAGCTAGAAGTCTTGCGATGCTTCTTTTTCGAAGGGAATAGAGTTTGAAACTCCGCCAGCGCTGGTTCTGCGCACTCATCTGCCTTCCATATCTGCTGAACTTTCTTTTGAACAAAATGAGCTCTGTTGGGCAAGGATATGGATACGTTTTCGTGATGGCTTAGCTTCTACAATTCTTCTAGCTCACAAATCCGCCATGTCTTCGACGGGCAAAAATATGTTCTTATATGGTCACATCGCGGTTTTTTTCATTTGTGCGTAGAAATGCTTTGTCATCAATAGTATCGCTCATATATTGTTGCATTAAGAAACATAAGACAGAGCTCAAAATCAGTGTTACTTATGTCAAAAGCATTCGTTGCTTTTTTGGCATCGAAAGAACTTCCCTCGTATCAAAATATGGTCTAGGTTTGTGGACTGAAATGGTCACCCGACAAGCAGTACCTAGCATCAGGTGGAAATGACAACCAGCTTTTGGTTTGGTCAATGAGACGCACTGATCCGGGCCAGGTCAGACAATTTCACTCCATATTTTTTTACCTCGATTAACTTTTCGTTATTTTAGACTTTTACTGAACATAGCGCAGCAGTGAAGGCACTTGCTTGGTCACCTCATCACCATGGTCTCTTAGTATCGGGAGGTGGAACTGCTGATCGTCACCTACGGTTCTGGAATACATTGACCGGACAGCCTATGCAAGCGATTGATACGGGCAGTCAGGTGACGAGAATGTATCTTTTCACTTTGTACTCTGTTCAAAATTGTGTTTCAAGGTGTGTAAGTAGCATGGTCCAAACATAGCTACATAGATACGGGGCTGGGAGTTGGCACAGGGGGGTAATCGAGCATGGGGATTCCGAATACAATATTGGTTTTCAGGATTATCGATTACTTTTATCGATTTTATCGATTTTTTTGCAAAGTTTGAGCTACGGGGCTGGGAGTTCGCACAGGGGGGTAGTCGAGCATGGGGATTCCGAATACAATATTGGTTTTCGGGATTATCGATTACTTTTATCGATTTTATCGATTTTTTTGCAAAGTTTGAGCTAGGGGGCTGGGAGTTGGCACAGGGGGGTGATCAGCATGCTCGATTACACCCCTGTGCCAAATTCCAGCCCCTAGCTCAAATTTTCAAAAAATCGATAAAATCGATAAAAGTAATGGACGATCTTGAAAACTAATATTGTATTCGTAATCTGCATGCTCGATTACCCCCCCTGTGCAAACTCCCAGCCCCGCAGGTCAAACCTTACAAAAAAAATCGATAAAATCGATAAAAGTAATGGACGATCTTGAAAACTAATATTGTGTTCGTAATCTGCATGCTCGATTACCCCCCTGTGCAAACTCCCAGCCCCGCAGGTCAAACTTTACAAAAAAATCGATAAAATCGATAAAAGTAATGGACGATCCTGAAAACTAATATTGTATTCGGAATCCCCATGCTCACTTCCCCCCCCCCCCTGTGCCAACTCCTAGCCCTGTAGGTGAACTCTGCAAAAAAATCGATAAAAATCGGTAAAATCGACATCGATCGATAACGAAAAGTGGACTGTGACACCCGCCGGGGCCCGAAGTGTATGTGTGCCAAGTTTGGTCCGGATACGGCGGAGCCGGGTAAGCCAGCTAGTATTAGATAAAATGTATTCATTGCATGTAGGGCTCTGATACTTGACATTGGACCATTTGAGCAAATTTGGGCGGTTTTGTTCCAGTTTTGCGTTCAATTTTTTGACCTGAAAAACGCCCATAACTCGGCGTCCAGAGGCGCTTGGCAGATTTGGAATCACCGATTGATGCTCTTCAAAGCAGTATGGCTCTCATCTGAAAAGGCCACTTCGACTACCCACGCTTCCCTTGTTAGCTTTATCACTTACCGTTTTCGAGTCCATGTTCTTTGTTCTGAATATCCCTATGGGTATGTCGGCAACTGAAGAGCAGAGCTTTTGGTATAATCTTCCATAGGTTTGAATCCAAAGGTCATCCGCGGTCACGGTAAACTGGAGTAGACTAAGTTTTATTACAAAGCATTACTAAGCATTATTAATTACCGATGTTAGATATCCACTGCCAGCGGTCTGGTCGATGCCTAACAGTAATCGCGTCAGATCAACGACATAAGGTTTGATTATTGCCTGAATTATTGAAGCAGAGATATCGCAGAATGGTTGGCTCATGAGCTGGTTTATCTAACCTGGTAAAGTAATCTATCCAGCATATTTGCACTGAATACACCACCTTGAGCGAACGGCAGTCGGAACATGAATGGCATGTGAGACCCTCGTTTTCGTTCTTTCTGAAAAGACTCAATGGTCACTTATAAGCTCTGTCCAGCTAGTTGGTTATTATTTCAAGTGACGCAGTAAAATCTCGGCCTTACCTTTTCGAATCTAGATTGTGCTAAAGAGTATGGACTATTAGCGTCGAACTGCACGAAGCGCATGTTGCTAGCGTGAGTTAGCTCCGTAATCATACGAAGACGAGGAAACATCCTAAATGGTATTTGCATGACTCTTCATTCTGACTGTTCACAGTGTTCTTGCTGTCACGTTCTCCTCTGGTACTTACAAGGAAGGGATGGTTAGTCGAGGTGGCCTTCTAAGATGGAATGTAGACCATCTTGGAGAGCATAAAGGGAACTTATGGTTGTGTTAAGCAATTGAGTGTGCAAGTAGAATAAAAAGTCTTATCACTTTTCCTAGCGCTCAAGTGGTGCAAGAATTACAAGAGCACATGCAATATATACGTTTTGGTAAAATATATCCACAATCCGTTGCCTCAGTTAACGCTAAGAAGATTTTATCAACCGTTTTCGTCCTATATGCGCATTTCTGCTCTAACAAATGCTTATGAATCTTCGTCCATGAGTGCTTCGCAGACAAGAAAGAGATTTGGAATCAGCCTTCAAAGGCAGCGTCCCATCAGATCGGGGGGTATCTGGCTTTGGTATCAATGTAATCCTATGTCGTCGCTTAGTTGAGGGTCCACTATTACATTACTGCCAGAGTTACGTACCCCCCCCCCCCCCCATTCTGGTGGGACGCTGCTTTTAAACTTGATAGTTCTCAACTCTCATGAGTCTGCTTACAGAATCTGCTCTGTCCACTTGTGGCTGAATTGGAGCTGGTTTTTCCAGCTTAACGAAAAACAAGGTACAAGGGAACGCGGCAGCAGGATTTCGGGAACCAATGAAGCAGAACATGCGCTACTCCTGTACTCAGTATTGTTTTTGTATCTTTGTATTCTTTTGTGTACTTGTAGGCGTTGCTCAATTCGAATAAATTTTTTCTTTCCGAAGTCTTTTGTGCCTGCTAAGATGGTCGTGTGCCATTGCCAATTTACCGAAAAGCGTTTTTTTTGTGCATAATTTGCGTCTTACATACTGCTGTAAAACTCATTTTATACATGCTTCGCACTTCGCCATTCTTTTCTTGTCCTACTCCAGTAACGAAATAATGTAGCCAATTTGTGCACTTTTGACCCTTGTTCTCTTTTTCAAAAACATCCTGTTGTAAATGAGCAACTATCATTGCAACAGTTAATTCATCATTTCATTCATCATTCATTATATCATTTTCATGGTTGCTTACGTTTTTCCATTTACAATGTAACATTGCAAACCAAAAATTTGCAGTGCTGTATGTGGTTGTGAACCCATGCTTTCTCACGAAGTCACATTCTAGGCAGGAGGTTTTCTTTCTACTCTTCTCCAGATCAAACATCGCACTTTTCCGAATAAAGTGACTCTTTTATACGAATTAATAAGGAAATTTTGTACACTCAAACAAATCATTAGAAAAACTCGGGGAGCTCTTTCGATTGATTGTCATAGTGTGGGGAGTTTGGGGTACAGTAGCACAGATTCGGATGGCGTCCAAAGAAACTCTGTCTGACTTCTTCGAAGCGCCGCTTGAAGGATGTGGGTGAGGTGCTGCAAAGTGTGTCAGGATCCTGCGGAGTACAATTCATGCAAAGGCATTTAAGTCGCTGGTTTTTCATAGTCAATCAGGAAGACACCTAGGAAAATGCTCAAAAAATCGTGCTCCATTACTTTTGAATTACCCCAATGGTAATCTCGCATGGTAGCGTCATTTTCTCACGTTACGGCGGTATCCGCTCCATGGGTCAATATTGTCTGCTTGAAACTTTGCTTAACAGGATTGTTTAGCTATGATTACGAATATTACAATTTTCTACTTTTTGCGTTTTGGAACCTTTTCGGAGAATCGCGACTTCGAAAATTTTTGGAAAATATGGCCTGAAAAGCGCGTAAAAAGTCTGCTTACAACTAACTTGCCATAACTCCATGATAAGTCGTTATTGTAGCAAACTAGCATGATTAGTATCAGCATGCTTGAGAAACTTTCTAGGCAAAGTTTGGAGCAAGTATGGATTTTTGAGATCTACGCACATCAACCGTAACCCGCGAAATTAGCGCTGCGGTGCAAATTATATGGTATGTCCAGCCCCCCCCCCTCCCTTCCCCTAGAAGAACCTTTAGCAAACTACACGAATTTCATTTCTTGGAGCGGGCTGCTGGCGGCGGCTGCCGGTGCGGGGATAAGCGGAGTTATATGATCTGCTAAAGACGAAAAACAGTACGCTATTCAACGGAGTCCTGAAGTCGAAATCGAAAAAGAAAATAAAACTGCAAATTACAATCATCTCTCAGGAAATTCTGCTCAAGAAAATTCTTTCAAATATCCACTAAATGATCTTTATACACAAAGTTAATTCAGCTCAAGTTTTGCTCACATATATGTAACCTGGGTGGCTTATTGGTGGTTGCAGAAGAGAAGACAAACAGATTGACTGTATGCGAATTAGTTACATTCGCAAAACACTAAAAGAGGTAACTGATACGATAAAAGTGTCAATTAGTTCAGAAGCAAAGATTTTTAGATGCGGCTTTTGATTCTCTTGATTAGCATACCGTGGATCCCCCTATCCTGAGTACTACCAGGATTCTGTTTGTTATACCTAGTTATTATCCTCTCCACACTCAACTACCTGCGTTTGTCTCAACCGGAACTCATTCCTTTCTATCTTGCTCTGATATCGAAATCATCTTCGCCGATCACCTACACCGTTCTCAATGTTCGTTTCTATTGGAAGTAGTAACTTTTTCCTTTCTCAGCTGCAGTCTTTAACTTGTAATAGTTGCGAATCAGTTGTGCGAACAATGCTTCGCAAAAAGTTTGTCTTAGATTTGTACCGCAACCTTTTCCTATTTATCTGAGCCGGAATAAATTAGCCGGTCCATTTTTATTTGCGCAAGCTTAAAGCAACAAGACCATCCGATATTCACTAATCGTATAGCTTGGGATCTAATTTTACCTTAATTCATCTTATTCTCCTATTTTGAGATTGCCCAGAGCATCACGAAAAAGTGAAAATCTGAGCTTGTATCGTAATGTTCCTGTTAACCATTATACTTGAGTATCAGGGTATACTCTCAAACAAAGACAGAAAAAGAAGATTAAAGATATTTAGAATAGCGAAGTATGAAGCGTCCATTCCCAGATCATCTTCCCTTCCCACCGGGGATGTACATGCATACGGGTTAGAGTTCTCGCATTCTTGGTCTATTCTCACCACGATAAATTACTACCGTGTATTCGCTGTCATCCGTTACTCCTCTTGTTTGATATCGAAACGTTGATATCAACTGGTAATTTTTGCAGATGCTCGTGATGTATTTACTCCATCAATGCGGGCACCACCTTTTGGGACGGACAATTGTACAGGGTGTCCCAAAAAAATGTGCCCACTGTTTGATTGTTAATAACTCTGTTGTAACGAAGTCTTTCGAAAAGCTTTAGGTATCATTTTGTAGAGCGAGGTCAAACTTAGATTTACTGTACGGAACGAATCATCGATCGCTCTTCATTACTGTAGGATTATGGTAAGAACTTCCAGCATATGGAACCATTGTGAAATATAACACCCAATGAAATTTTTTCCAAAAAATCTGGAAAATTGTGTACTAAGGTTTTCGCGCATGCTAATTCCAGCTAACAACTTTTTACAAGTGTTTTCAGCTTTTTGGGGTGTAATAACATTTGTGACAAATGCTGGAAATTGACTGATAACGAATTACAGGGGATAACTTTGGAAAAAAGCACCACAGTAAAATGGGATTATCAAGTTTGGAAACAGCGGCTCCCATTACCGTAGTATAAGGGGTTTTGGCTTGTTTGGTCTTGTTCCCAGGCAGACTATAGCCTCCAGCGGCCTAAAATCCTTGTCGAAGTTCGTACCGTAATTATACAGTAATGAAGAGAGATCGATGATTCGCTTTATACAGTAAACCTAAGTTTAACCTCGCTCTACAAAACGGTACCTAAAGCTTCTCGAAACACTTCATTATAAGAGAGTTATTTACAATCAAACAGTAGGCACATTTTTTTGGGACACCCTGTATAGGTCAGTTTCATACAAATACTCATTTAAAAATAGTACACTGTAAAGATTTTTACTTCATTGTCCTCAGCTGCTATACTATAAGGAAAAATCCCCTAAATTTTGAAAAAAGACGCCAAACAGCGTGAGACTCGTAACATTCCTGAGGGACGAATGAGATACCTCAGCACCAACGTTTCTCTACGAAAATAGTCTGAGCTTGCATCGTTACACTTTTTTATTTTTTTTCTGCTTATACAAAGGAAATATCGTGCAGAGTAACTGGATCTCATGGTAGAAACAACATTTGGCGCTTTTTGGAGCACTGTTCTGAGAGATACTGCTGATTTAATGGAAGTTTTGCCTTTCCAAGTCGTAGACTGAAAAGCGTGAAACTGGTTCCTGCTGTTAAAGGCAAGCCTTAGAAAAACGGCACTTACAGGGGAAGGATACTTGGATGCCGTAGCCATTCATAATGATTTGTATACCAAAACATGCATTTTTGAATGCTGGTTCGTAGGCTGTCTTTCATATCTGCGAAACGATAATCTGAATGGAGTTATGATTTTTTTTTCATTAAAAAATTGCGTTCCTGGGGAGGGTCAAAATCATAAATAAAAAATTTTCTCTCCTTTCCAAATGCTGAGTATGATCCAGATAGTCTAAATAAATATTACTACGTCTAAAATTTTCTTCAGTAGCATCAAACGGTAGGCTAGATCAAATCTGGTGATTTTTACTATCCAAAAGTAGGCTAAATTTTCAAGGAAAAAAGTTCATTACTTTCTTCAAAAGCCCGTTTCGCAGATTTCGAGCACAGATTCAGAATCTGCATTCGAAGGCGCATTTTTGGTATACAAATCATTAGGAATGGCCGCGGCATCCAACTATCCTTCCCTTGTTAGATAACTATGCACCGAAGATAATGTTCGGAATTTTTGATCAAAGATGTTATTTGATGGCGTTTATCTTAGAATCTCACTTTCACTTGTAAGGTTAGCACTTGTGTAATTGGATGTCGCTGGTGGAGGCAAACTTTTGCCTTAAGTTAATCTTGCTTTCGCTTCCAGAAATGAAAGTGCTCGAGTAGCTGGGTTTTGCTGGTGGAGATAAGTGTTTAATCCCCGTCTCGTAGAAAGAAGCTCTTGATACTCTCCAATTGGGTATACATTATATCTCAAAGGGGCTTCGATGACCATCCTTCCCTTGCTGGACTAATACGTTTTCACACTGAAGAAGGCCAACACGGTGATCAGTTTCAAGATTTCGACTATGTAAGGCGAAAGAACCTGTGTTCTAAGTTTTTTTTAGTTTGACGATACAAGATCACACGATGGCAGGCCTAGGTATTTCATGAAATTCACGCAAATAATGTGCTCAGTTGTAAATAATCAACACAATTTCTACCTGTGAAATTCTTCGGTTGGAAGGTTGCCAAAAATTGGTAGTTCTAAGAATTTTTTTCGTAGGTAATGCTGTCGTCTTTCCATTCCAAAAATTATTGTCACCTCCCTCTCTCCCCCCCCCCCCCCCCGAAAAAGATTTCTCCGGCGGCTGTTAGACACACTTTTGCTTTCGTTGCTGGATAGACCAAGAATCATCTACATGCAGTTTTGTAACGACGAGACGCGTCCTTAATCGTTTGGAAAATATCTGGTAATTATCAGCAGAAGTTTCCTTTTCTAACTTTTGTTTTGCTATTTTTGACTATGAACCAAGAATCAAGTCTCTTCTACCGAATTTATTCTGAGGTTTGTATAACTTTGTTTTTGAAGCTTGACTATTCCCATAAGATCTCAGTGTGCCAATGGACTATAGCATGTTCGGCGTGAAAACAGTCCTAAAGTCCATTTTTTTGCAAAAATTGCACTTTTGGGTTTTACGGACTTTCGGCTTTTTCCTAGCGTTTGAATGAACTCCTACCTGTGTATTTTTTGTACAGTGATTATCGTATTGCAATCGGCAAAGTGCTCTTCTGCTAGCGACGCAGTCTCCTTGACGACTACGACATGCTCGGCACGGGTGACACCGGCCCGAAGTAGATTGTCCAACCTGAATTGTTGTCTTGCATGAGGTATGATTCGACATGAAAACATTTCTACTTACACCGAAATCCTACCCTGCATCCAGTATATTCCAGGGAAGTATGAGATGGCATCTAGGAAAGCGGGATTTGGACTTGATGTTTCTTCTAATTCTAGCAGCAGTACGATGGGGTGTAACTCATGAACAGGGCGGTAGTATGCTCTAAAAGCATATAAATACAATGATATCAGAATTCTATTTTTGTTAGTAACTTCTCTGATTTTCTGCGCATATGTTTATTCTTGAGTTTTGCTAATAGAGGAAAACTCATGAGTTTAACTCTTGTAGATATCTTCGTCAGAAAGAGAAACTCTAGTACTTCACTTCTCGAAATTTGAGCTCCTTTTTTCGTTATTCGCTTTAGCAAGCCTTTTCTTATCACCAAAACGGTTTTTTTGGTTCGCTCTCAAAGAATCAGATTAGGAGATTAGGAGAGGACTATAATGGTGTTGTCTAAACGGTAACTGAATTTACAAAAGATGTATGGGAGGATGTTTACAAACGCATATAGGAGTATAAACAACATTTTTTTTCGCTCGCGAAAATGGACCCATTTTTGCTTAAATTTGGCTTATGTGAGCTATTTTCTATGTTATCAGCGTTTGTCGATGATTATACGAGATATCAGCACATATTCCGATTTTTAGGGCACTCTCAAATTCTTATGCGCTTACTTACCTTAGGGGAATTATAAGATTATACATTCCATTGCTAGTCCTATCAGCTGCCAAGATAATCGGTTTGTTCGTCCACTGATATTCGTAGGCTGAAGTGTAGGGGCAGTGTTCGCAAGGCTGTAACAGATTTTGTCGTTACGATCAAAATAAAGGTGTACGGTACGTACCTTATCTAGTTGTAAACAACATAGCGGTCGCTTCTCTTTTAGCATATGACAAACTGTGTTCGATGTACCTATGTAGGTGCGCACTTGTGGGTACGTTCGCTGTATTCTGTAATAATTCTGCTTTTTTACTTGCTAAAAAAAATTGAGACGTACTTTTGCTGAATGCAAGGTCCGTTGCATCTAGTGCATGCCTCATCAAGGTCTGAATCAGAGGAGGTGTCTTCTTGGCCCTGAAACAGAAAGGTGAAGTAGTGGATGAGTCAGACGTGATACTGGCAAAAACTGACTGTGGCTTATACGAGTGAACTAGGGTAAATATTACCTCTACCACCATCGCTATTGAAGGTCTTCTAGAACGATCGGCTGGTAGGTCGATAAAGCGGGCCTCGTCGGTTGCCTAAAATTTGCTCTGTCTTTTGCGTGAGGAAAAGAAAATGATCGAAAGAAGAAAACCTAGAGCCAGCAGTATAACAGAAAGTTCTACCTTCATCTTTTGCAACAGTCTTCGCCTCTTCCGCTTGATTTTAGGTATCTTCAACCCATCATCTATATTCGGCACATCTATAGCAACCGTACCTAAATCCAGTGCCATTTAGGGATGTCGATGGGCAAAATGATTTTGAGGGAGGGAGGGAGGATGGTTTCGAAACAGCCCGTCAATATTACGAAAAAAATAATGTGCCCATTCATGTTTTTGTGAAGATTCGGTTTCGGCTAGCGAGCAAGGTTTCAGCCCTTAGTGACATACAGTAAGGTCTAATCCATGGGTTTAAGCTTACAAAAACACTAGGAGCAAAGTTGTCAATATTTCCTTTCTGTTACTTTGGTCTTGAATCTGCTTGCGAACTAACCAATGTTGGCTATCGTCGATGCCAAATTCGCTTTTCTTCTCTGATCCTTGAGATCTTTACGAAAATCGTATAGCGATTCTTCATTAGTCAGCCCCATATAGTATAGAATGTCTGTGCCTTGCACGATATGCGTGACTCCAGGATTCAAGCGTATCTTGGCGTTGACTTCGTTCGATTTTACACCAATCAGACCAATACCGTATCTGCACATATGACGACCTTGCGAAAATTCAAACTCGTTGGTGAACTTACGTTCGATGAGCATAAAAAGACGCATATGTAAAAGTTTTTCCTATAAAATCGCCAAAGAATTTCGAATCTCCTGCTCGTATCATATAAATCTCATTTCCGGAGTGAAATCCATATACTTTGTGCCATGGTTCTGTGGACTTCTTGCCTTCTCTGGAAAGTCACTGATGGGGTTGGTTTAAAGTTCCTAAAGTACTTACTCTCCTCTTGAAGTATGCATCAAAAGGGTGATGAAAGTGGAAATTCCTGGACATATGCAGTTGTTCGCTAACAATGAATACTTGAACTCATCTTCGCATATTAGTACCTCTGCAATTTCTAGTTATTGCCTAAAAAAATTTCGATGTAAGTCTAGCAAACCTGCATGTTCTATATGCATCTTGGTTTCGGCTCTGAAGATCTGCACATACTGTTTTACATGCGGCGCATAATCCTTGACGGCCCATGACCGTAGAATAGTATGTTCATCCTAATCCTCGCATTAGTGAAGTTAGTGGAAAGAGTTTGGTAAAAGAAGAAGTACCGTAATGATTTTCTTGTTTTGATGCCTAGCGGAGAGAATGAAACAAGCTTGCGCTGCACCTAGACGAGCCCTAAAATATAGAGAATGAGTCAGACATAGAGCTTATCGTTAAAATTGACTTCATAATTTGAGAGCAGAGCTAAGCTTTTCATCCAAAGTTTGTGAAGCTAAAAAGTTTATTGAAAATTTACAATCAACAAGAATAAAAATCTATAGAAGCAATCTTTATATAAGACTTAAAACCTATTTATGAAAATGAATTGTACTTCAAATTTGTACTAAAGCCTTATAGTTTTTGCCTAATTAGATACTAATATAGAACCTAAAATACGTAAATAACCCGCAGTCTCTAAACTCAACAATAACCCGGCCAATAGCATCCTAGCAGTGGTGGGACATTAAAAAATTAATGAAATTGGTAATAATTCAAATCAAAATATTGAGAATCACTCACCTCTCCAAATCCTCATCACGAAGTGCGCTGCCTCTTATGTAGTGCACTCGCTCGTTATATAAAGGAATTTTCAGCAGAAGACGAGTCTGATTATCAAGCTCCGCAGGTGAAAGCAAAATCACTTGAATCAGCTGAAATATTTTCTTTGTGTTTATAGGAACTGCTAGAGCTTTTGAAAGCATGCGATGATTATTTTTTCCTAATATGAAAGTCCCTCCTTTTTTCTGATATTTGGAAAAGATTTTTTTAGCCGGCAAGTAGTTTATATCATTAATTTTCAAAATTATCAGCATAGTGACATGCTTGCCTGGTTTTCTGGATGTGCGTAAAACTCGTCCAGAAAGTCTCTTATAAACTCCACTTCCAAATGCGTGATGGTCACCACAACGTGTTTCTCGTTCCTCAAGGACCAACCGCCGCTATAGTCTCCACCGGACTTTTGTCTTTCCAACCATGTTTGGCCCAAAGCTTCGATCTAAAGTTTCTCAATGAATATCTGCAAACATTGCGCTTTCAAAATGTCGCACCTGAGATGGAAGTAGAACTAAAGCTATACAAATGAATGATACTACACAAAGCCGCGACATCCACGTATCCGGATACCTTAAGAATTGTTCCAATACTAGACTTTGATTCTGACCAACTTGCTTAGAACATTTCTTACCAGTCTCCATACCCAACAGTTGAGAAAGTAACCATAACGAAGTAAAAACTGGTGAAGAGGTCAAACTGCTTTTCTCCAGCTCGTTGTAAATGCTCTATGCTACATGTACCTGCAGGAAATGAGAAAATGATCTTTTGCTGGTATGATCGCGAATTTACTCACCAGTAAATATCAAACAAAGTATTACAGAAAATAACAAAAGCAGCTGTCTAAAGAGTGCTGATTGATTCATTATTGAGCTGCGGTTAAGATCATTCTAAACAATACAAGTCAATCTCTATAAAGCGAAGAAGCAAGCTCACCATCATTGCCTTTAGTGAACCCTTTGCAAGCCAACAATTAAGGAAGACTGGCACAAACAAGCGACGTAGTTTTGGTTGAAAGATCTGTGCTTGATGATTATCGTTTCATTCGAATTTTTCTTTTGAGAAAAAGAACTCACAGTGATGGCAAAAGGAAAACTCGTAATAAGTTCCAATAAGAAATGTACATTGATCAGAAGACGAAAAATATTGCCCTGAATTGAATGCCTTATTTTCTGTGTAGACTTTATATTGAAGCTAAAAGTGGAAAAATTTCTTACTTGATAACTAATATAGAAAATGATAATAGTTTCAAAGATACTAATGAACGCAACAATGGTCTGCGCCAGCCATAGATAATCGTTCCTATCGACCCACATAAGGTATTCACTGAAATAATATTGCAAGGATTTTACTAATTCATTAGAGGATTGTAATGGACATTTTCTCACTATTTGATTGCTCCTTCGTCTCGCTTCGCTTCCTTTACGAAATGAGGCAAGGTCCTACTATCGTTGGCTACCCGTACGCAATAGAGCACGCAGGAGAGGATTTTGATAAATACGTTAAAAAGTCGAATTCGAAAGCCTGAAAAAAACTCAACTTATGGTTCAAAACTACAGATACATTCGATGAATACTTTTTAAAGCTATCAATATTTACTTTAGGATCGGATTTTTTCAGCATGTTGATAGAGGTCCTCATGCATTCATTCACTATATCAGTGTGGTGAGTGATGTAAGACAGTAATTTTTGCATCTCTAGGAAGTGTAGAGATAGTGCTTTGATTTTTGACTACTCTAGAGTAGGCTTCGTTTGAACCTACCCTGTTCTCCACAAAAGTTTAGGGTTCCGAGTATTTATGCCTAATAAGCCATTTAGCACGCTCTCGTCAAAATTTGGCCGTAAGGATCCACAAATCTTGATAAAATAACAAGTACAAGTAATTTCAGAGTATTTGATTGAGAAATGATCTGTCTTACTTGATGTCTGATTTTCAATGAAGTACTGCTGCAGTCTAGACTTAAAGCTTGTGTCCACGCCATATTGCATGCGCGCTCTGAAAATAAACATTTGCAACAGTAATTATAAAATTCAAAATAATATTGAAGGCTGCCTTGTTAGTATATTCATGTCACCTTACTTGCCTTTAGGATCTTTCCCTTGGCGTCTATTCAATAGTTTCATCGACAGTTTGAATATATTATAGTATCTAGATTATACGAAACATCAATCAGGTTTTGACTACTTTTATTCTCATTTAAGAGTGCTATTTTTCTAAAATCTAGCAAAGAAACTTTCAATAATCGCAATTCGCATCTCTCGGTCTTGAGCATTCTGGGTATACTATTATTCATTTTTCAGCAGTACACGCTTTCTTATCCCATTTCTTGGCCAAGAGAAATGTGGAAAAAATATAGCGTGTATTCCTCTGGGATGAAGGTGTGCCTCATATAGACTGCATTTTGGTGATTGTCATAGTAAATTGTTCAGATCTCTTCAATATACGATCACTTTCGTGCATTCAATCTGGTAAATGATACAGCTGCAAAAAAAAACGAAATCAAATTTTTTGACTTCAAAAATTGTAGACTATGTTATCTACTGGGTAGAAAAAGATTGCCACAAATCTGTAGCAAATTGTCAGAGTTTCAAGCCTGTCCAGGCTTTTAATTTTCAAACCATGAAATTTTGCATAACAAAACATTTGCACTTCAATGAATAGGCCTAAAAGAACAGAAAACTTGCACAACTTTTTTTTGGCTTATCATGAAGGGCTGCTAGGATGGAGGAGCATAAACTTATAAGTAGCAGTAATTAGTGTGAAATAAGAAAAGCGAATATGATCGGACATGCTCTCTGAGAATGGCTTCATGCCAGAGGGCTCATCGATTGTATTCCTTCCTCATTCCCTCTTCAGCTGGTGACGAAGTACATGAGTCGTTCTTGCTTAATGAACGTATGCGGTGAAATCGCGAAACAAAAGAGAAAAATGACGACAAAGAATATCTTATGTGGATGTAGAAATGAAAAAAAAAGATTGCGAAAGCTCTTAACCTTGCAAGAACTTCGTGAAAAGCATAAGAAGAGGTTATTTCATTGTAAATTTAAGCTACATAAGGCTCGAACATCACTGTTGAAATAAACTAAATAAACTCCACTTTTAAAGAAGATCCCTGAGCAAAGTACTATGTACGAAGTACAGTCAGTAGGCTTTGGATTCTTCCCGATATCTCGCTAATTTCTAAGCTTATCTGAACCTAAAAAATCCTTTGGCTGGTAGTATAAAAATGGCGAGTGATCGGAAAAGTGTCTCATTTCTTGTTTTTCTTGCACTTGCAATTCTCATTTTGAGATTTTCAAATATCAGAGATGAAGACAAAACATATGATGAATTCTTAACCTTCGAACTTGTTGTTTTGTTACTGTCCGTGATATGGGGCAAGCTCTAATATATCCAAATTTTCGTTTAATCGAAGAATGTTTCTATATCATGTCTTCGAGGATGGGAATTATATGCCGAAAAAATCAAAGTCAGTAGGAAACGGAGTTTCACAACTATGGAAGCATATAATACTCTAGTAATTAAATTGGTAGACAAGCAGTAGTAGTATGCATGATAAAAGTAGCACTCCTATGGAAAGAGCTTGCTCTCAAAATATCGGAGAACCGCAGCCATATGTGAGCCAAGGAAAACGACCATTATTTTTGCATCGACCTAATAGAATGGCAAATACATGCGTGATGAAAACATGCTATTTGATACTTATTATGTTTCTTTGATGCGGTGCTATTGCTGCATTTTTCAGTTCTTCTCAAATAAAATTATCAAGCGCTATCATTCCATTTTTTTCTCATCTTAAAAAGTATTCAAAATCTATTCGTCTGCAAATGCTTCTTAGCCATACATTGCTTAGTCGTGCAACAAGGTCGGATATCTCTCTAATTTATAATAACTGCCTTGCCCTAATGCTGTGATACTCTTTTTTGTGTTTCCATTTTTCGGCTTTTGATTTTGTAATTAAGTTCGCAATAGCGTTATACGGATGGTTTGAAGGCTCTCGTCAGTTGTGTGAGAAGAAGCTTTTTTTGTGAGATTACTGAAGTTCCTGAGATTTTCAGTATATTTCGCGACGTTTTCTAAGTTTACTTACTGTTGAATGTCAAGAACTAAAACATCTAAATTGCTGAACAACATCTGTGTAGGATATGAGTCGTCAATATTTTGGATGGCTGAGCTAAAGCGTAGTCATTGGAGGGTCGGTAACGTCTATCAGATTGGCACTCAAGTTTTGCAACTTTTCCTATAAATTTTCTTCTACTAGAAAATTTCGAGCAGTTTTCGAAAATTGTTGAAAATCGAGGTTTCAATTGAGGTTTTGTGGCAAGCATAACACTTTACAAAACCTGTATCAAACGTATCAAAAAGGAATTTTAGGCACATGTAGCTAGAAGTTGATATTGGATTCAGTAAAAAAGAAGCGAAGTTTAGAGAGAATTCAAGATAAAGCGCCTTTGAGAAGGTGAACAAGTCAAGTGTGTCAAATTCGGAAAGCAATCTTCAATAACTAAGCTGCGAAACCTCGGAATTCGCTAAAACTATAGGGTAATCCAATATGGTGTTCACTAATATCATATCCAAATGCCGCTTAGTTGAATTTCATTTTTTGGCTTCAAGAAAAATTCCTTTCCATGCGAAACGGTTCTCATTTTTGTAATCAGCATGTTGAGTAACCCCCCCCCAGGCCAAGTTTCTGCAAAATCTGACGCAATTTAAAAATTTTCCTAATATACCATATACCTTGTACCCTTACATAAGACAGCAATTCGGCAAAAATGTTTGCATTTGCAGTTCACATCATAAACCTTATACTGCCAGGAAATAAATGGGCAACGTTTGAGAAGACAAAAGTTATATAAAAAGATGCATACCTTTGTGCCGACTCAATTAACACTCATAAGATGAACAAGGAGAACTGGAAAGTAATAAAGATGGAGAGATAATGCAAAAGAAACTAGTAACATTAAATGGATTGAGAAATTGATGGGTACTGATTGTGGTTTTTGCTTACATTTTACACTTTGATTTTTGTGGAGATAATGCGAATGGCAGCGTCTCGTAGCGCATAAGTCTTAGGTTCTAAAACAAATTCTTTGAGTGAAAGAATGTGTTACAGTCAATGTCCTACCTTCTTCTAGCAAAGGAATTGTCTGAAGTTTGGACTAGATTAGTAAGCACTAATCCAGTAAGGCTGTTTCAAAGTCTTTCCTTTTCTTTTCCGATCTGTTACGTAGTTCGATGTTTGCTCAAGTTGTGAGAGGCTGGGACCACGAAATCCAAAAATCAACAATGAGCTGAATTTCTGCACGCGAGGAATTGAGCCTGGTAGCGGATAAAAACTGGAGTGATCTGTTTTCGGACGAAAAATCACGAGATTGGTCCCAAGGGCAAGCAGTTACTGATGCGTTCGTACTTTTAGACACATCTCGCGACAATGCTTCATAATGTCGCTTTTCCGAAAGTGTAATTAAGCGGCTCTGTGTCCATCCGCGATCAATGGTAGGCTATCACTCGGGCTTCCTCATTAGACTCGCCCTCGGGAGCGTAAACAACTTTGAAAAATTGGGCATGGCTAAAAATCAACTTGTAGCTTCATCAGTTATCAAAAATATGAGGTGTCCATGCTAATTAAAGGCAACGAAAATCGGCTTTTTCTTTTGGTGCACCACGAATGCATTGAATATTTGAAAAGAAATAAGAAAGTAATTGATGAAGAACTGATATCAGCAACTAAGCAAAAGCTCCTGCTGCATATCATCCTGATTTTGTTCTGACCATTATTCCCTTTATCTGGACTTTGGACTTTACATCTCTCAAGCTGTTATGCTCAAGCACATATGTGTCGTAACTATATACTTCCTTCGTAATTGGGGAGTACTTGCTATCTTTTCTGGACGGGATGTCGGTAGCGCAAAAGTCTCTCATATTGAAACTACTGAATTTTGAGCTAATATAAATGGTGATAGTGTGCGTTCAAAATATTCTGATTTTTCTAGAAATTTTCTACATGACAAACGTCGAAATCGTGATTTGTATATTCAAATTTTCCTCAAATGGAATGGCCATGAATTTTCTCCTAAAATTCTATCGTGTCAAACAGTTGATTACATGTGTCTGTCGATCTACACTTGTCGTTCAAACTTCGAACACTGCAACCATTTCAATCGCTTTCGCAATTTGCTTTGGACTCGTAGTCAGTCAAAAGAATTTGAATTATCTTCCATTAATCAAGAGATAGTACAATTTTTGAAAGAAAATTGGTGTAAGATACGTAGAAGTGATCCTCTTCAATTCAGCAAGTGCTTTTACCTATTTATCCCTTTTTCAATGCACGAAGAAGCTAATATATCCTAGTTCTTAGAGGAGTAATGGAACGAACGTAATTGAGGCTTCAGCTGTTAAGTGTTGAAACTCGTCTTAGGTATGAATTTGAGGTTTGTACTTCACATTTAGCTTTCGCAAGAAAAATTTGAGGTTTTAAGATTGTGCATACAAGGATATCGTCAACTATTTCTTCATTCCCTTCTTCTTAGTTCTAGAGTTGTTATGCATATGTAACTAGGGACAGCGGAGGAGTGCAGTCGGACTCGAGCATCGCCGATGAGGAAGAGCGCAAAAAACTAGCCCTCACATGCCAGGATTTATGATATGCAGCGCATTTCGCGAAATCCGACACGCCAGCCGTGTGGCGTTGTCGGAACGGATTGCTAGCAAATCGAATTTATTCGCGTTATCTTGCGTGTTGTTTTTGTCCCAATTCAAGGACAGTGAGCATTTGTCAGTACCACAGAATGGGAATGATGGACTAGAAAGATGCTACGTTTTATTTGATTTTTCTCACGATGCACATAAATTAGAAAAAATAGACAAAGAATCCTTGGACGAGGTGATTGCAGAAAGAATGAATGCCTTTCAGTGTAAGACACGTAGATCGGTCCTCACAAATCAAACTAGCGTCTCGCTAGTTTTCCACTTTTATGTGCCCTGACAGATGACGAAGAAGTCCTCAAAATCTCCTAGTACTTAAGGAAATGATTGAAGTTACTTAATTAATGACGCTGTTAAATACTGCTGAGTAACCTTGAATGAGGTGGTATAGAGGATAAATGGAGGAAGTAGCAAAGCTAATTTCAAAAAAAATTTTTTTTTTGAGAGTGCTTACAAGTTTGTTAGCTGGGGCAGAGCTTAGTTGAGACAGAATTGTAGTCCAAAAGTATAACAATCGTGATTCATAGTAGTAACAATAGTAATAGTAATAGTACTACTATAATTATAATAGTACTTGCCTTCTTTGCTAGAAAACAGTAGGTCCTTTCCAAGAAAAAACAAGGAATGTAAAGTTTTTGAGTGTCAATAAATAATAAAAGTTGTTAATTTTTTGCGAACATGGAGTAAATGAAGAAAGTAATACCATGTTTTACAAAACTGAAACCTGCTTCTTGCATCTTGCTATTGAAAAGTCTTGGTAGTCTTTTGAACAGCCAAAGATTATTTTTTAGAAATTGAAATTGGATGTATATCAGAATGATTACTGTCTAGAACAATCTATGCAATGAAGCGCTTTCTACCAAAGCCGTCAAGCGTGAAGCTTTTTATGAGGAATGTACTGAATGCGGAAGAGCTGCATGTAATAGTTCCACCAAAAGTGCAGTTTGACGGAAAATGAAGTTTATGCCTGCAAATGTTTTCGTTTAAAAAAAAACTCTTTGTATTATGTGGTGTGCGCTTGGTTTCCTTAAGCTTGTTTTCTTATTTTGGATAGATGTGTGAGATTATTGCGTTCTCGTTCTGCGAACTCGAATCAGTTTCAACTTTCTAGATTTTAACGTTCAATACTGTGTCCGCTGATGATTTCCTGCATCTCTAATCGACAAAGTTTTTTCCAAAAAGAGAATCAAATGCTGGAACAGAATGGCATTCATATTTCATCATCTGTTCACGAATCGATGTGAGAACTGTTCGGTCAAGTTAAAAGGGGAATGTGAGCGAAAAACATAGTGGGAAACAGTGTTTTTATGTTTTTCCAACATGGATTGGTTCAAAAGTTTATACAATTTTCTTTGCAGCTCAAAACGATATAGAATAGTCTATGAGGGAAGAAGTTTTTGTAGGAGTGTGTAGCTTTCTATCATCATTTTGCGCTGTTTACTTCCACTTCAAAATGCAGTTCTGCAGAATCTACATGCTATAAAATATTTCCCATGGAAAAGCAGACGTTTGAAGTCGATAAAATAAATAAAATAATTTGGCATAAGAGAATAGAAACGAACACAGAATCTCGCTCACGAAAGCGGCCATTGGTTGAATTCCAACGCACCATCCGCCAGAAGGTACTCATTATGCTGCAGGAGGTGGCCAGAAATCGGCAAAAAGCTCGAAAAACTTGATAAATGCGTTTTCCAGAAAGGCTTCTCGATGCATAACGTGTAATTATGGCTGGAGAGTTGATTAATCGGGTCAGTCGGTTTTTGAGGAATAAGGAACATATACTTCAGTGATGAAGTAAAAAAAAGGCAGCATCGTATGCACAAATGCTCTCAAGAATGAGGAAGGAAGAAAAGTTTTTTGATTCTTTTCGGGTTCTGTGAAATTTGAGAAGGCTTTGAAAACACTTTAGAATGTGAGGCATTTCTCTTTGAATGCATGTAAGTGACTGCTACAGCATTAAGAAGCGTAAGTCTGACTTCGCAAATGTTTTCTTTAGAATGTTGAACCTTGAAGAATTATCTTGCGATCATGTTCACATCAGTTCTCTTCCTAAGAGGATCAAATATGCTCAGAAAAGTGAACTGAACAATAGAATAAATATAGAAAATGCGGTTGTAGTGACCAAGAAAATGAGTGGATTTTAGTTGAACAGATTTTGATTATCAGAATGAACAATGAATGAGTTTTTTTTTGAATTGCGGGGTTAGTAATAGTCAATGAAATTTTTGAAAAAGCAAATTCGGGGAAACAGAATAGATGTCAAAAACTATGATGACGATGATGACTAAGCAAAAGCAGCGGAGAGCGAGCCATCATTACGTCGATGATTGGCACAAGATCTGTCGGCAACAACGAAGGGACTTTTTTGTTCATTTTTTACTTATTTGTCCCTCTAATAGATGCAGGGTATGCCCAAAAACGGGGAGAAAGGAAAAGAACAAGGGTAACACGGTGAACTCAGTAGTCCTATTCAAAGGTCATTTACGATGGTGATAATCATGATAACTAGACAGCTTTAGTGGCTAAAGGTAGAAGCGTTGATCAGCGGAAAATATATAATTGTAGTACAAAATATATCTTATAATGACTGGGAAGAAATGAACGAATCTTGTCAACGGAAACGGCTTAATACACATGTGGTCTCATCAATGACCTGAGCTTAGAATAGTGTCACAAGGGTCTTTTTTCGCGGAAAATGTGGACCATTGAGAATGAATAGAGATAAAGATTTTGTGGAATGTACAGACGACCATCTGGAACTTCAGCCATATAGGGTGCTTTGCATAGAATAGTACTTACAAGGGAAGCTACCTAACTCAGCTCGGCCTTTTGGCAAGACACATATAAATTAACTACTACTGAACATGGGAAGACTGCCTGTAGGTAAAAATCTGCAGGAAAAGGTACTGAGATAACGAAATAACACAAGTTCAATCTTTTCTTTTTTAAAAGGAGCTTAACGCAAGTGTAATAGCGCTTAGATGATAACGCCCGTAACAGTGAGTCGACGAGTATGCCAATTTCGCGCAGGAAAAAGTCCATAACTCGCTTCGAAAAGGTGCGCGACAGCTAGCAATAACATTTGGAATCAGCATTTGGAGCTGATTCAGAATATATATATCCCTTGCCAAAGGTTGAACTAAGTTAGGTAGCTTTCCTTATTAGATATAAGTTTGATACGCAAAACTAACACCACAACTACATCGGTATTTTTCAGGAGCGAAGGACGATTTCGTGATCGGAAAATTAGTGATGGAGTTGATGTTAGTGGAATACGCTATTCTGTAGTACTCAACACACTTACGCATCTTTTGGCAGTTCAACACTTCTCAGGAAGATTCGTGATCGCCACTTCTTGCCATCCATGAGTCGCCACGACTGCAACGTGGGCCGGGCAAAGACAAGGTGAGCACTGTGCGTGCATCTCGAGGAAAAACTTGTTGCTATAGATCAATCCGCAATTGTTGTAAAGTGTGTTCAAAGGCCATCAGAGGAATAGGTTCTTTGACCGGTTCATTTTTTCGTTTTTGAAATTAGGCCAGGAATTTCTGATGGAGCATGTTAAGTGCTGCGTGGTAGATGGAACTACCCAAGATAAGGAAAAAGATAATGCGCGATTGTAAATGGATGCAAGAATTATCCAACTTGACTTAGGGGACCTTTGACATTTTTGGGTACTATACAAACTAGCATTAATGCGATCCAACGTGCTCAATGTTTCAACGATTTTTCTCTTTTAAGAAAAACCCTACATAACAATGAAGCAGCTGTTTCATCCCCCACTTTTCGAGAACATGAAAAATACACAAATTCGCTCGTCACGAATCATTAGTCTGTACTATAAGCTCTAGTAGCTTCTATGTCACGTTTGTTTTAGAAGAAACCCGGTGCAAGCAACTCAAAGCTGTCCCGTGAAAAGTAAACTTGAGACTGGCACAAATTCAAACAGCAGCGCATTGTGTCAAATAGTCATTGACATTTTGAAGGTACAAAAAATTGGGTAGCCATAGTGCAGGACTGGAAATTCTGTGAAAACTGTATAGGAAATTTGAACTCTAACTTCCTACAGTTGTCAATTGATGCTAACAATAAGCTGCAACCTTGAAGTAAACTCAAGAGTTTATGTGATATGAAGAAATTCAAAATTGTAATAATAAAATGAAAAAATTCACAATTAATGTTACTTTCAAATGATCAATTGCTTGCGCAAACTATCATCATTTAACAGCTCTAACAACAACAATCTTTAGCATTTAAGAACTGAAGTAGAGAAGCTCACAAAATTCCCATGATTCATACTTTATTCTGCGCAGAATCTAATTATCGACAATTTAGGACTTCCTCAACTTTGAATTTTCACACTTTTCTAGCACACATACGTACGAATAGACTCAATTTTCAAAACTGTTTTATTGAAGTCTCTAGTTTACGCTGAACATCAAAATATGGTTTTGAAGCCTAGAGCTTGTTCCACTTTTACGCAGATGGAACAGATGAAACATTAAGCATGCATTGGGGAGAATCAAGATTGAAAAACAATAGAGAGCGTGACTTACGCAGGAGTTGGTCGAAATAAATTCGAGACGGATTTTTTCATGCTTTGCAAGGTCATTCCACTACAACTGGAACGGCGACTTGCATCAATTGGCTTCAGATCTCTGATTACTGCCTCGTAGCTTGGGCTTTTCTTGAGCAGAGTTCTGTCCTGTTTTTCTGCATCCTCGCTTTCCGACATCTCTGGCTGGCTTCCAGCTCCAAATATGAAGTTAGTCTGGCTTGCAGAATAGAGAAGCGAATAAGCTGATTGAGTAGGCAGTTTGTGTTTGTAATCAATCAAGGCTGACTGCCGCCTTGGGCTTGGAGAGCAGTATCTGGGAAAGTTATGGGATCCGACGCCGCCCTACAAATGTGGAGCAAATTAGCAGACTAAATGGACGTCGGCGCATCGACTCAGACACACGGAAATGTTATTTGTGCACAATAAGCGGATAGACTAGAAAAGTAAGTTTCAGAGGGAAATAGTTGTCCTAGGCCGGCATCGATCGGCATCATTGCTCTCCAACAGCTTTGGAGCAAAGATGGACTCAAACTATGCGTCAAGGATTGATGTGACGAAACTCCTCCCTTCCTGGATATGGGATTGGACGAGTGTTGTTGAGGAGTCCCAAATGAACGAGCGGATAATGGTGCGATGCAAAAACTGCATCGTTCCAGATGTCCGGCCTCATGGTATCACATTGGCTTTTTTCGTTAGATGGTAAATTGCTGAATATCGGACAAATGTAAGAAAACATCTTTCTGGAAAAGAAAAGGCGCTGAGGGGCAAGTGAGACTCAAAGCGGATGGTGAATTCTAATAGACTAGTGGTGTGTCTTCAAATAGCGTCAGAATGTTAAATAATGTAGATTATTGTATAAATAAGTTTTCCTAAATCCTTTTGGTTAAAACTCCACTTTTTTGGTTCGAGAACATTATTAGCAACGTTTGCCAATTGTTCCTCGAATTATGACCATGCCTGCGTTCTTTCCTTGCAAAAAGTTTTGTTCTTTCTTTTTTTTACTCCTTTTCCTTTCCACGTTAGTCATCTTCCAAAAAGATCTCTTCTGTATGGATGTCTATATGTTCCTCAACTCATTCTAGCTCCTTAGATTTGTCTTAACGTTGAAATTACTAACATCCTTGCAATCATGGAAATCACATGCAATTAAGTAATATACTTTCAGCATACTTTCATGACTATATAAATATCTACATGCACAAGAGTCGAGAGCTATAGTTACGTTTCAGTCAAAATCACGAGGATTTTTTTATTTGTTTGCCCGCTTGTTTTCGCTAGCTTAGCGTTATGTATCAGGCTGGTGCAAAAGTTTTGTCAGTTTTTTTTGAATCCAACTAAACTAATTAAGCTGTATCCGACGCAGAATTTCTTAATCTTTCCAGCTGCTAAGGCTTCAGTAATTCGTTGAGAGAGTGCTGAGATAATCACTAGAAATTCAGCCCGTCGTTTTCACCAGGTCTAACTTTCTCTGATTTCAAGATTTTCATCTGAGACTTTCGGGGGAGCTTCCATAACCAACAAAATTGCAAAAACAATAACATAACCATAAGATTGCAAAATTCCACAACCAGCAGGTAGAGGGAGTACTTTTCCAACTGAAGCGATTTTTCTTTCTTTCTTAAGCTACTCTTTTGAATTTTTGCTGAAAAATTTTCTAAAAGCCTGCGTTTCAAAAAAACCTGTAATCGCACCAAACACTGCAAAATCCTTAGAATACTGAGGTTTCAACACTCGATTATGCTTGACTCACCTTACAAAGTAGAGGAGCGATTTTTGCTGCGAAATATGGAAGTTTTGGAACTTAGGGCACATCAGCGCAAACTCGTGAAATTGAGAATTACGTCGATAATCTCCGCAATTTTCGCATGTTTTGCCAAGAAAAGGCAACCGCTAGAAAAAGGACAAAAAGTTGCATTGAATAGTACCTGAATTGTTCACGCTTTTACGTTCTGCGGGGTTACAATAGGCCAAAAATTTGGTTACTACAGAATACATATTTTAGAAATTTTGAAAGACAAGCCACAGAGCTACAAAAATTGCTCCGGTTGGCAAAAGATTTGCGGTACTATCTGCTGGCTATAGCTGCTCCAAAAATCACAGATAAGAATCTTGAAAATTGGCGAGAGTCAGACATGGTGAAAACGAAGGGATATAGTGTTCAGCAATTATCTTAGCACTCTCAATGATTACACTAGGAGTATAGCATCTGGAAATAGGAATCTGCGTCGGATACAGCAAGTGTTTGTTGATCTTTACTGTACGGGATTTCGGTCAGTTCAAAAACTGACAGAACTTTTGAACCGTTTCAATATGTTAGCAGCGTACTCTGCTCTTACTTATGATTCTGAGAAATGAGTATATTTTTTGGCGGAAGTGAGGCTACAGAATCATAACTCAGTCAGCATTAACGCATCATGAGTTTAGCTGGATATTGTTGAGCAATTTGGTCTGCGATCTCTGTATAGAGGCTAAGATAAGCTCATTAATAGTGGGTACGCTATAGGGAGGATTGTAATAGCTTGCAAGGCTAGTCGAGACAATAACATTTACGCTCAAAAGGAATTCTGATGTGCATCAGACTTACACCGATCTCTCCGCTAGACTGCAGCAAAACTATGTTTTAAGTGAACCTGAGATTTTATAGTACTGAATTTTAATAGCGCCTATCATGCAGTTTACTGGAAATGAGAAAAAAAATGACGAAATACTTACGATGCCTGTAAAAAGTACTTGTGTGTCGCCTGTGCGATCATCCTGTTCCGAAAAGAATATCGGCTCTCCATTCTAAAACTGAAGGGTCTTTCCATAGTGAATAGAAAGAATGGAGTAACAATGCCCGAAGGCACAAGATAACACATATGTGATAAATTATATTGACACAGAACTGGCATCAACAAGAATTGGGGGTTCACTAGGGAGATCTCTGAAGCACGCGTACGAGTTTGGTGTCGTATAGCTTTTTTGCAGTATAAACGAACTAAACAAACTAATGAGTCTTCTTCAGCTGTTGGCATGGCAGCAGTTGAAGAAGAAGAAGTCAAGTTTGCGGGAACTGATAAACGTTTAAGCTATGCTCATTAGCAATTCATGGAATGAATTTTTTCCATAAGAAAATAAATGGTTGGATGACTAGCTAGGAAATGAAAATGGAAGTGGTGCAAAAATTACCTATTTTGCATAGCCATTGTTGCCTATCGTTCCTTGATTATCCTGCAACCAACTTTCTCTGAAAATTTCATGTATAATTTTTATGTTTGTAGAACTATGTTACGTTATAATGACCGACGATAATTCTATGTAGAACAACGAAGACAATATACTAGGACAGCATGTAGCTGAACCTTCAAGCTTTAGCTCATTTGAAAGAGTTCAGTGTGTCAAATCAGATTAACGAACAATGCATTTAATTTACCAAAGTACTGAGAGCTTTTGTCACAGAAACTAGATCCAAAGTGCAATATGCTTCGTGTTGATAAAACGCTTATGTATACTTATTGCATAGGCAAGAAACTCAGAAGAGAGCTCATCCGCTTAAGCAAATACTACTGCGATTATCCGATAACTTGCAAGAGTTGGAATACCGAACGCTTTTGTGTGAGAAAAGAAGAATGAGGAAAAAAGCCCAGTAATCATTCAATTACTCGAAAAGAATTTCCAGTGCGTTTTATGATATACAAAGGAAATTGCTAATAGAAGAAAAACTACCAATTCTAAAATTGCGCCACAGACTCTGTAATTTCAAAACTTGCCAAACTGCGCTTTTTGTTCTAATTGCTTCATCAATGCTGAAACTTAGCGAAAGCTGCAG